AATTATAATGAGATCTACCTTAATACGTTAACCTATTTGTGCCAACAATTGACAAAAGACATGATGCGTTGAGTTGTTTCAAAAATATGAAATAAGAAGGTAATTGGTCACGAGTGAGACACATAATTCAGTACTTCTGCAAACTCCGGTAACGTAAGTTAAACATTAAATATGTAGACAAACCAATTAAGTCACTGAAACATTCACTAAACGTTTTAGTATTAATTCTGCATATTTCAGTGAGGTATATGTAAAATATTAGTTCAAAGAAACTGATGGGTAACTGAACGATTTACTGTATGTAATATGCCAAATAATAAAGACTTGTGCAGACACTTATGTAAATACTTAATAAGAAAAAAATATAAAACACATGTGTATATCCAACTTGCTGCATTTTTTGCATTATGTGTAAATTTAAAATGCTAGTCAATTTACATCATTAATTTGATTTTACTAACCAGATACTGTTTCCATTTCTTATTTTAAAAACTGCTCATACATTGAAAAAATTTAATACACATGCTATAATGCAGTAAAAGTGGAATTTGAGCCTTTTTGGAAGCATTGTCAGTTTAAATTATAAAATGAGCATTGAAATCAATACGCAACTTCTATTGTCATATTCAAAATAAACTACTATAAGTTATATCAAAGTTCAAGAATAAATTTACATAAGCCCTAAATTTACATAAGCCCTAAATTTACATAGAGGTACACAATTTAATAACTAACTAGCAAGGTACAAAATATTTTGTGCTTCTTTTAACAAGGAAAATTAAATGTCAAAAGTAGAAAACTCCCCAATCTTTGATAGAGTTTTTGAAACCCAAAAGAACAATTAAATGTTCTGAACCTCCTAAAATGTCAAAATAAGTTTTTTTAGCTTTCCTATAATGAATCAATTAAGATCCTACAAATTTCCTATAAATAAGTGATTTCTCTCATATTGGACAGTCACATAGAAAAACATAAAAAATCATTTTCTAATAATTACATAGCTAAATGGTATATAATTTAAAACTAAGAATCAAGAATAGAAGTACTCAAAAATGTGAGAACCATCTGCTTGCAAAGATTTACAACAACAAAATAATTTCTAATTAGAGTCTGGCAAAAACTATAAATCTGGTTGCTAACTTTTTCAACAGAAAAATTAAATCATTGGCTTAAAAGAACCCACAGAAATTAGAAATACTTGTAGTAAACAAATGGTTTTTTTTTACATCAATCAGCAAAAGGTTGATAGGCTTTATGTACAAACACTGTTATGTAACACTATTTATGTTCAATATCATAACTAAATTAAATTATATCTCATCTTACAAAAAATAAAAACACTTGGGCAAGTAAAATAATTATTTTTTTAATATCACTATTAACAAATATGATACAAGCACAAATAATCAAATTTAGGCCGCAACTTTACAATGGGAAGTAAACTTACCTGACGAGCGAGATAAGTTTGGCACAAAAATAACGTTACTAGAACGTATGAGCAAGCTTGGGTGGGGATAAACCAGCTGATACATCAAGCAAGTATTATAGACACTAAGTTTTGTCTTAGACTTAACATCACAAGGGTTTTTTAGGCCCAGCAGAGCTATCAGGCAGTGTCAGAGAAAATAATTCTTCGTTGAAATAAGTTTATGAAATACAATTTTTTATCCACATGTAATGTTTATGATCCATTATTTTTGTAAGGTTAAATTACCTACTCGCGAAATGTGTCTTTTGAGTAGGGTATAAAATTCACAAATTAAAATTGAGTATAATTGCAATAATAAACAAAGCAGTAACAAATTAAAGACTTAGCAGAAAAAAAGGATGAAGTGTGTCATAAAAACATTCCCAACTTGATACAGTAGAACCTCATTTATTCAAAAAGATTTTTTTGTTAGAACGACTAATGAAAACGCTCTCAGGAAGGAACACCAAAATGTGTTATAGACGAAGGAAGAAACAGTAAAGTGACGAACAAAGAGAAGTGACAAAATGTTTGGAGTTAAGGCTGATGATTGCTACACAATACCAACTACAAACACAGTACCAATGCACAAAATTAATTACATTAAAATATTACAACATCATTCTTCTAAACGTTGGGTGGACAAATGGAAGATTTTTCTAAGACAGTAGCCTATAACTGCAGTAATTTGTATAACTGTATGATCAATAACTGTAAGGTATACACTCTATTCTTTAAAAGAACACTCAACAGGACTTCAATGACTTATTTTTGTAACGTTAAATACTGAAAAAAATAATTTTAACCAAAACAATTTCTAAAACAGCTTTCCTCAGTCCAGCCTTATTTCAGTTGAGAGAGGTTCCACTGTAGGTGAAAAATATCTGTTTAAATCCAGAGTTCCTTTTATATTTTGACCCTTATAGCTTTTTCAGATGCTTTCTCCATCTTTAGGTTTTAATACTGAGCCGTGACTACTTTCCACCGACGAATGTAACGACTCATTTTCTGTTTTTATACTTTATACTTTATACTTTCTTATGAAATGGCGACCATCAGTGATCAAGTTGTAGTGTGTGTTTTGCCATAACTGTTTGACGTGCCCAGTAAATCTGTGTGTCGCACACTTCTTCTACCTCCAATTGTCATAGGCTCCGAGATCGTGTAATCGCGAACATCATAGAAATATTTAAGTATCCAATTACATCAATATTTTTGTGTTTCATTATGCTAATTTTGATGGATAACTTAAATTTGTGCTACGTTTGTTTTTTAATATGTTGTTTTAAACCAGCCGAGGATGCCTGATAGGGTTCCAGTGGAGGACTAACCCGCCGCAGTGGCAGAGGCAGCCCATTGTTTGTTTTGTTTGTGGTCAAGCAGGGCATATAAGGCGGCTTTGTCGCCAGAAGCTGCTTTATGTGTCTTGGCCAAAAGACTTGAATAAACTCATTTTATTTAATCAGTTTATATAACAAATGTATACACAATATTATACTGATGTCGCTGACTGACTGTTTGAAATTTAGTACAACTGTGTAATCCTACGTTTATTCAAACGAGTTTGTGAACCAGCATAATCGAGTGGTTTCGTGGGTAGTTTTATAGGGTAAAAATTGGTTTTTCTCATTATTGACCTTCAAACATAGGTTTAGTGGGCCTATCCCAAATTATCTATAACTTAAACCATTTGGAAGAGCTTTAAAAAAATATGGATTCCATTCAAATTGCCGTACGTGTGAGGCCGTTAGTGCCTCACGAGTTGGAGAGTGGGTATAGATCTTGTGTGGTATGAGGCACAGCAAATCATAACCAAGATGAGAAATGACAAGTTTACATTCAAATATGTGTTCGACAGCAGCACACCACAAATTGACATACAGGGTGAGTTTTAAATGAGTTCCCCCCCCCCTTATTTTTTATACATTTCTTAAGATATAAACTCCGGACCACTTCAGATCATAATAGAGTAGTAAGTAGTTCATTTTGACTGGGTATAAATTTTTGTTCCCTATCTTGGATCCGCCATATTGGATCCAAATTTATTTTTTTCAATGTAAAGGTAGGGTTGTGACCCATGATTTTAAACTAGAATTTTACGCTAAAAACGACGCTGCAATCCGTTTAAAAAAATCTTGATCCATTCTAAAGTTATAAGAACTTTTTATAATTTTATTTTAACCCATTTTAACATTGTGCATTTACAAACTAAGACCATAATCTCAAAATAGTGCTTGATAAAGATACACCACCATTCATTCTCAACCTATTTTCTCTTGGTTATGACGACTGTATTTTTTCGGCCGCCATCTTGGATCTGCCATTTTGAAATGTGTTCAATTATTTTAAATATAAAGGTGGTGGTGTCACCCATCATTTTGAATTACTTTTTTATGCTGAACTCAATGCCGCAATTTGTCTTTTGCTATCAATCTTTCTTGATGAAATATTACAATTATTTGATTAAAAATGTCAATAAATCAAAAACCAAATATGAAAATAAAAACGGATTGCGGCATTGAGTTCAACATAAAAAAGTATTTCAAAATGACGGGTCACAACACCACCTTTATATTTAAAATAATTTACCACATTTCAAAATGGCAGATCCAAGATGCCGGTAAAAAAAAATCTGTCATAGCCGAGTGAAAATAGGTCGAGAATGACTGGTGGTGTATACTTATCTTTATCTAGCACAATTTTGATATTATGGTCTTAGTATGTAAAAGCACAATGTTAAAATGGGCTAAAAATAAAGATATAAAAAGTCCTCATAACTTTAGAATGGATCAAGATTTGTTAAAACAAATATAGGCATTGTAATCAGCGTAAAATTCTCGTTTGAAATGATGGGTCACAACCCTACCTTTACATTTAAAAAAAAAAACTTTGTATACAATATGGCGGATCCAAGATGGCGGCCAAAAATGTATACCGAGTCAAAATGAAGTAATTACTATTCTACAATAATCTGACGTGGTCTGGAGTTGATATCTTAAGAAATGTAGAAAAAAGGAGGGGGGGAACTCATTTAAAACTTTGTACATATGAAACAGCTGTTCAGAACCTTGTAAATCAGCTTTTTAAAGGTTACAACGTCACAGTACTGGCGTACGGTCAAATCAGCTCTGGGAAGACTTACAGCATGGGAACATGTCCCTCGTCAAACCCTGCAGATCAGGGCATTATTCCAAGAGCTATCAACGACATGTTTGCTAATATAGAGAATGATGATGACTGGATGTTCAACGATAGTGTCTCATTCCTAGAGCTGTACAACAAACAGCTGATTGATCTGCTGAGAACAACAAGAACAGTACTGTAGATCTGCGTGAAAGCAAAAGAGGAATCATAATTCCTGACTCACACAAAAAACAGCTTTCACCACAGCTGATGTCCTCAAATGTGTGAGCAGGGCTCGGAAAACAGAACCACTGGAGCAACTGCAATGAATACCCAGTCTTCTTGAAGTCATGCAATATTTACCATCTACATCCGTCAGACAAAACGACAAGATTAGGATGAATCGATATCTGCCAAGTTCCATTTGGTAGATCTTGCTGGGTCGGAACGATCTAAGAGGACCAGAGCTGAAGGAAAACTTTTTATAGAAGGTGTGAACATCAACAAAGAGTTGTTTGTATTGGGTAACTAATCTCTTCATTGTGCGACAGGTCAGCATTTGTTAACTATGGAGAGAGCAAACTAACTAGGCTGATGCAAGACTCTCTCGGTGGCAACGCCCTGACTCTCGTGTTAGCTTGTGTAAGTCTTGCTGACATTAACCTGGACGAAACAGTCAATACTCTGCAGTACGCAGACCGAGCGCGCAAAATCAAGAACAAACCAGTTGTCAATCAGGATCCTCAGAAGCAGGAAATCAACAGGCTAAAGCAAACAATTAATGAACTCCATCTTGAAATAGTTTCCAACCAGATTGGCACATCCTGTCCGCCTGAACATTCTGAGCTGATGGAGAAGAATAAACTATTGATTGAGAAGAATAAGAGACTAGGAGCGAGTCTCAACAGCGCCTTAATGCAAACAAATTTGCTAATAGATAAACTCAAAACTGAAATCGAGAAAAGCGAGACAGAAAGAACTCAGTTTGAAGAACAGCTTTGGGCGGCGGAGACAAGTTTGAACGAGTCAAGTCACCGAGCTGACATATCAGTTGCAGAAGAGGATGATGAGGGCAGGGAAGTGTTTGTGTTGGCAAGGAAACATTATGAAATCCAGGAACTAGATAAAGATCTGGCTTGGAAGGAAGCTTTGGCAGTTAAACTGGCTCAAAGTAACAGTGTTAAGGGGACTTTACTGCAAGCTACCGCTGTCGAGGATATCATGGAGTTGAAGACCCAAATCAACAATCTGTTACATGAGAAAGAGGAACTGGAGAAGCAGCTTACTAGTTCTCGATTATGCGATCTCGGAGCCTATGACAATTGCATGGCAGGAGGAGGAAGAAGTGTGTGTCACACAGATTCACTGGGCACGTCAAACAGTTACATGGCAAAACACACACTATACAAAACAACTTGAACACTGAAACAGAAAATGAGTCGTGACATTCGTCGGTGGAAAGTAGTCACGGCTCAATAAATGACCTAGTTACTCCAATATAGATAGGCCAAAACAAAAATTAGGTAATGTTAATACTTTACTTTTCATAAGCCTAAAGAATTCTGTTTGCCTACTGATTAGATAGTGTTTCACGTTGTGTACAAGTTGGTCCCTACAATCGACATACCCGTAGCTCTACTGCGCCTGTTGCAGGGGAATGGATCAATCACTAAGGGATGAGCTTAAACGAGAAGCCAGAGGAGCCATAAGCTCACTAATGGTAGAGTTGTGCCTTGTCCTTTTAACCTCCTTCTCCTCGGCCAGGGTGAGGTCACTCATTGTCGAGTCGTGCCTCGTTTTCCGCGACCCTTCATCATCGACCGCACACGTCACTGCGCACAGTGCTACAGTCCTATCAAAGTCGATGGTAGCGTATCCTTCTGTAGGTTTGTTGGGTGACTCAGGAGTCAATGACAATCCAGAGTTCAATGTTACCGGTGACGTCGGTTGATTTCCTTGACCCGTCAACGACGAAGATGAGGAGGTTTGGTCCAAGTCCAACAGAATATAGTTGATCTGCTGCGGTGGCGGAGTAGAAGGCTGAGTGACCGTGTTGAGTTGAAACGTGGGCGGATATCGGTCTTTACTTCGTAGAATCTCGATCTCACCGGGTTCCAAATTTGCGTAACAATGCCTTTCTTCCAAGTCCACCTCCATTTGTGACTGTGGTTTGGGAGGGGGTTCCGAAGGAATTGGCAAAATTATTTCCTGTTTGGGAATAACGTTCATGTAGACCGGCGAAAACTGACTTTCTTCTGACAACTCGTTGCTGACATCTTCGACGGCAGGCTCCGCCTCCAGTTTGGGGGAGGTGGGGGTGATATCTACGTTGGCATACGTTGTCAGCACAAGAGGTGGCTGAGGGGGATCTTTCCCAGGACAGGCCTCGGAGATAGCAGTGCTGTTGCTGTAGGAGTGGGACAATGTGCAATGCTTGTCTTCCTGAGCTGTTATGTTGTTGTTTGAGGCTGGAGGAGGAGGGGGTGTAGAAGGGGAAGTGGCCAGGGGACTCAGCGGTCCATTGCTGCTGCTACCTACACTCCCTAGACGCCCGTTGTGGACTGAAAATCGGTTACCATTCTGTCTAAACTGAACTGGAGCTGGCTCTAGGTAGTTACTTTCGGCAAATCGTTGACTGAAGTCCGTCGAGTTAGAGACAGCATCATCTCCAGCAGCATTGTTACGCATCTAAAACAAAAGGCTTAACTTGTAATTCAGTTAAGGAGATAACATAGAGCACAAGGGCCTAGATTTCAAGGATTTTTTGTGAGGATCGCAAGCTTATCTGAATGGGAGAGATTCCAAACTGGTACAGGATACACAAAACTTTACACTATACAGGGTGTTCATAAAGGGGTGTCACAAACTGCAGGGGCTGATAATACTGATCAATCTAAACAAAAAAGTTCATATAACGATGGGTAAAAAAGATTATTTAGCCGCTAGCTGCTATTTTGTATTTTTTACATAACAATTTATTTCTCAAGAATTATTGAAACCAAACAACTCAAGCTATGGAAACCAAACTTTCTACATATAGACCTTAAACATTTTAAAAGGCAAAGTACGCAAAAAATTGCATATTTATGATTTTTTACTATTTTGTTAGGATACATGAGAGTAATGTAAAACCAAGTTTGCAGCTTCAAAAGACCTGTGATCGATTTTCTTGTTACTTTTTTTATGAAAGTCTCAAAAACCATCTATTGTACAAAAGAAAGTAAACACTCAATTAGCCAGACAGTCAATGTGAATAGTCCAAAAAAGATACACAGACTCTTACATAGACATGATCAGGTGTAACACAATCTAGCAAAGAAAAAATGGAATATCAGCAATCTCATCTACATCCCCAGTCAAACACACCACACCAAAGTTAGGCTAGATATTGCAAACCAAACAACAAAATTATTGAATTTTGAATACTGAAGTAGAAATGTTATTTATAAGGGCCACCTTTACACTGTATTTTATTTGATTAAAATAGTTAGGCCTAAACAAGGAGATTTTTGTTCAAAATTGCAATAGGCTACAGTAAAATCTATTTCCTCTACAGGGGTGCCTACAGGCGCATTTCCGCCATTTTGATTTTTTGGAGGGGTTACATATTGCCGTTGATGATTTATATATAAACGTTTTTGTCAGTAGCCCTAACACATGTTTTTGTTTGATTCCATACTTGCAAAAACCTTAGGCTATTTGCAAGTGTTGGTTGATATTAGCAATTGCAACATTTTGTTATTCATACGCTAATTAACTTTGTCGCAAAAACATGATGTCTCACAGATGTTCTTAACTTTATTGCAATCGCGGCATAAAATGACGAAGTCTTTGCAAGCACAAAGACATTGTCGTATGTAGAGATATTGCCATGGTGAAAAGAGGCGATGGGTATGTCTCGTGACCAGGGGGAACATAGAGATATTCCTGCGATCACGGGAGGCGGTGATGATGTCTCCCTGCCTATAAGGAATGTCAAGATATTGCTGCAATTACAACAGGTGGTGATGATTTCTTCTATTAAAATGTGCCTTAAAGTCCCTTGGTAAAGGAAATTATTAAAAGTAAATTTTCATTTGTTGTTATTTTCTGTTTCTCCGGCCCACACAGATGTTTGTTGTCAAAAAAGTTATTGCAGACCCAGCTGGTTTGCCTAACGAGGTTGAAAACTGGTAACCCATTTTGGCATGGGAATGAAAGTGTCATCTACTTTTACCAGACAAGGCCACGCTCTACAAATTGAGAAAATCACCAACATGCCACTGACCTGTACCTGAGTTTGCAAAAGGTTGAATAGTTGTTCGGCGCGAGAACACTTGAATGCAAATATGCCAGGACCGGTGGGGCAGCGTCGTCCGCATTCGAAGCTAAACAGCTGAGCGTCAAAGCCGTAGCGCCTGAGAGACTTGATGGGCCACCTGACAGGTGTCTTGCCTCGCTGGTGAAGCACTAGATCCGCCTCACTCACCTCCAACTGTCCCGGCTGTAGCGGGTTACACATCTCATCTACATTCATCACCTGAAAAACAAACACAGGATTAAACTGAGTAAACACAAAACGATCTTTGTGCTTCTGATTTAATTTCATCACTTATGCAAAAAAACGGATAATTTATGCCAGCATAAATCTGTGAATGATCTGATGTAAAAAGAGTGGTTAGACACTATACAAAGGTATTTCGAGATCATTGGGGGTATAAGTAACAGTGATACATATTTTTATTAAATCCAGTAATCAGCCAAGCGATTAAATGTCTGGATGATTTTGAACATGTTGTCCAGCCTCTAGAACTGCATAAAAAATCTTTTTAAATAATTCCTGTCGAAATGATGTGTTAGCAAATAACAGTAATGGATCTCATTGGAGTTTGCTATTATTATCAAAGCCTAAGAACTTGTGGTAGGCCTACTATTTTGACTCTATCAGTGATTAGGCCTACAATCTGAATTCAGCCAGGCCAATTTTATCAAGAATTTCTAAATAGGTACATCTAGTCCCAAGAAGGGTGTCACATGTAATGAACCTGTATTAAACATTGTGAAATGCCCTCAGTAAGGAAATAACTCTGTTGACTGTGGGATATTTATGTTTTTTTTTTTAGCAAATTTCCCTATAAAAGGAAGTACCGGTAGCTATTACCATAGGTCTCATTGTAAGACCTATGCCCTGGACCGATTTACTTTTTCATTTTGATGTCCCCAGAGGCCAAAAACACCATTCGTTAAAATGTTTATAAATGTATATATATATATATATCTATAGCCTATATGGAGATAGGCTATATAGGATATGTATCTTATAACCTGAGTAACTTTTCTCCGATTTTCATAAAATTTGGTTTGAAAAGGCAGGATAAGCTTGAATGAGTTTGCGAACCAGCATGATCGGACCATGGGATCGGTTTTATGGGGTAAAAATGGGGTTTTCAAATTTTTACCCTTAAAACACAAAATGTATCAACTTTTCTCCAGACCTTTTTAAAGAGCTTAAAATAACAAATAATCTAGTAGGTATATCAAAGTGTTTAAATTGTAAGGTGAATGGTTACGGAGAAAATTTAAAAAGTTGTTAGGTAATTTAAAATGTTATTCGTATGGAGAATATTGTAAAATGTTGTATTGGCTTGTTTAGGTAGTTATATTTTAATCAAACTTGGTGGATTTATTTATTTCATACTAAGCTATTAATATTTTAATAAAAAACACACTTTATTAGTTTCCATGTAGCAGCTAACCTAGGTACTTGTTAAACATAAATGTTAATTTAATAGATTATAGATTAATTGAAAATCAATCCAGGCAAACAGGAATTCGCTCAGTCGGCAGGTTTGCTGCAGCGGGGGTATTTATTTTGTTGATTGAATCGTAAAAGCAATACTTACACAACAGATCCATAATATAGAAATTAATTTCCAGCAGTACACAATTGATGATCCTGGTTTTGTTTGTAAACGTCCAACTATAGCCTACCTAATCTACAACAGTTAACTATATTTACTTCGAGCACAAACCTTTTGAAACAATTGCTATACAGAAACACAACTCTACCTTTAAATCAGCCGCTGTTCAAGTCTTAGATAATAACAGTCAACGAGTTGTACATTGTTCTGTGGACACTAATGCAGTTAAAAAGAATAGTACGCCTGAGAATGCAGAAATTACGACTCCTCTGTAGGCTACTTGACACTCACTTTAAGGAAAATGGATGGCAAATTGTTTATCACAAACGGAACAATGAAAGCTTGAAGACTACTGCATCTCAGCTAAAAACTAGGAAAGTAGTAGATATTTCAACAGCAAACCAGTTTTTGTAGGCCTACAAACCTAGTGATCATACCTTGTAATGGTCAAATTTTATTAGGGGGGTTAGTTTAATTATTTTAAGGCCGCGAAGGTTTGAGCGCGCTCGACAACAATGTCAAACATGTCCACGGCAAGTCAAGTCTCCTAGTTCGTGACTCGGCCGTCACCACCCCGTAGCGCTGCCGTGGCAGTGGACATTTCTTGAGACAGTCGATGGCGAGCGCTCGTTCGCCAAACACCCTCCCTCAAGACCGGGCAGTCGACGGCGAGCGCATGTTTGCTACACACCCTCTCCTGAGATATATAGCGGACCTACGGCGAGAATAAGTTGTGGATGCGATACGCAACAAACGCGAAAATAAAGGCAATAATATTAAGTAAAATAAGTATTGATAGGCGTAAGTAGCCTACTGCATTGTATCCTTACATTATTAGTATTATTTTCCTGTTTTACTTTGGCGAGTAGAAGTTAATATTCTTTCGATCACCTTAGTGGTAAGAGATTAGCGTATTGTACTTCTCAGGCCGGCACTGCGAGTGCAGTGCCGCAGTAGCCTACCCTTTTTAGTTTGTTTATCTAAAGTGGTTTTATTTTATTTTATCCAAAAGTATTTTATTTCGTTATTTTGTTATTGCGTGGGACGACATTTTATTTCACTACGAGAATATTATTTTTAGTTTTTATTTTAGAAGTGATAACTTTTGTTAGGCTTAAAAGCTGGTCACGTATTTTATTAGTTCATAGAAGTATCGTATTTAGTGCCAATATATTCCTAGTCAGTGCGTCGTTGTGCTGACATAAAACCATAGTATAGTGTGCGTGTAGGACGACGAAGATAACATCTACGAAGATCGAGAAGTGGTTAGCGAGCGACGGAGACTGTTAGCGAGAACCCTGGACTACTCGAGCTGTCCGAGCAAATCGGAGGTAAGTTTAGGATAGGTTAACCCTACCCGAAATAAACACCTCACAACCTAATAAAAAGTGTCATGAAACTACATCTAGCCTACACTCTCCTAAGTTTAGCCTACTTATTGTAATAAACTTAAAATTAATTTTCCTGCTTAGCTTTTTCTCTTGGAAAGGCCTATTTCAAAACTTAGCTGCCTGACTTGGATCGAGTTTTATTGTGATTGGGTCAAAGCAATCATAAGTTAAGGTGTAAAAATAGTACGGTAAAGACTTGGCATAGCCTATGTTTTGGGTCATTCCATATGAAATCAACCAATAAAAAATTATTTTCAACCTGACCATCTTAGATTTTGATGAAATTTTGCATACTTGTAGTATTTTGAGTCCTGAATCCAAATATGCTTTTTTAAAAAATCTATCTTTTATAGTTTTTATGATATAAATATTTGAAAATGGTAAAAATTGGCGTTTTTTACCGTGCGCGCAAATCTAAAATGTTGTCTAGGATGAGTTCTATTAATCCTATCAAGTTGTACAATGGCTCATTTTAAAGAGGATTCAAATGCCTTTAATCTGATACCAAACTCAACCTACTTTGGTAAAAATTAATTTTTTTTGAAAATTTCAAAATGTTTTTGAAAAAAAATTTAAGATAGTGTTTTTTGAAAAATTTGAAAATTACATATGTTAAAGAATGTAATCTAGTAAGTACATTATAAAAATTTCAAAATGGGATGATAATGGGATCAGCAGTTATGATAAAAATACTTGACTATGGTTCACTGTTTCCAAGCAATTCGGCACATACAGCGTGTAAGTACTAACCTAAATGTATCATTAAATAAGAGTCTATTAATTATATGATTAAAATAAAAAATATCTGCCTATATTTGAATTATGTATGTCATATTTTGCTACCTATATATAAACTAAATCTAGCAAGTAAACAACATTATTCAAGTTAACAGAGTTTCCGTCAACCTTTGAACAAATATGGACCAATGGGTTTTGGTTCAGGTTCCTCAGTCTTTTCCAGTTAGTTGTGTTGCAACGATTTACTGTAATCAATCTTTAAGTCTGCCTTTTCACTAGGCTGGAGACTCTAGTCAGCCACTAGATCTGTGCAAAATCACATTGTGAAGCACTTTACGTTTACACTATCAGGTTGCAGCGACCCATCTCTGATGTAGCGACTCGGTCTTGAGACAAGAGGAAAGACTGACAAACATAAGTTAGACCTGTGTACCTGTCAAACAAATTACAACTTCTCAAGACCGGGTCGCTACTGCCGAGGTGGGTCGCTGCGACCTGATAGTGTAAACGTAGAGTGCTTCACAATGTGATTTTGCACAGATCTAGTGGCTGACTAGTGTCTCCAGCCTAGTGAAAAGGCAGACTTAAAGATTAATTACAGTAAATCGTTGCAACACAACTGGAAAATACTGAGGAACCTGAGCCAAATAGGTCCATGTTTGTCTGTCTTTCCTCTCGTGACAAGAGAGAGAGACAAACAAGCATTGATAATTTTGTCACACAATATACTGTGATCAATCTATTTAAATCCTGTAGTAACCATATTATTGATACATAGATAATTAATATTCCATGATAGCCTAATTATTTAGTTTTGGGGAAATGTCTGCTCATAAGTATAAATAATGTATTCTCACTTTAACAATTAAAATTTTTTTAGTGAAAACTGATTTGTGGATTAAATACCACAAACCACATACCGTACCACATGTTTGTATAACTTCTATTTTGATAGACCTATGTCCAAAATAAAATAAAAGTTACGGAGAATTTTCAAAATGTCCGTCCGGTTATTTTTTAACTTTGCAAGGGTATTTTTTAAATATCATAGCAGTCAAATAAAGGAATTGGATTATGGCTGCTAATAATAACTAAAGCTCAAATTACATCTGTTTTCATTAGCAAAATCATTTAAAAAAATAACACTTAAAACTTAAAACCCAAGTATTTTTTTTTTTCATGTCCGGGAAATTTTGCTCCAGAACTAAGGGTCGCGACGCCATAAGTAAAGGTCAGCAAATTGGGTAATTTTTTCTTTCTTTTTTTTAAAGTTATTACTGCTTATAAAGTAATCAAAGCAGGTATTCTCTTAATCCCAGATAAATGGGCTATTCAATTATGGTTTTAAGTCATAAATCATAAACTTACGGGGTTTGCTGTAGACATGGAAGTTTGAACGACTTTTTTTTACTAAAAAATTTCAGTGAAAAATAAGTATTTTTTATTTTTTGCAGAACCATAGTGTGCACTATAAAATATTTTTTTAAGTAGAGTATTTATCTGGGAATAGAAAATTATAATAAACATTATCATTGAAAGATAAAATTAATATGAAAAAAAATAAAATATGAAAAGTGGAAAGTTTGTTCAAAGTAGCCCCCATGTTCAAAGGTTGACGGAAACTCTGTTAACTTGAATAATGTTGTTTATTTGCTAGATTTAGTTAGAGCAAAATATGACATACATAGTTCAAATATAGGCAGATATTTTTTATTTTAATCATATAGTTAATAGACTCTTATTAAATGATACATTTAGGTTAGTATGTACAAGCTGTATGCACCAAAACGCTTGGAAACAGTGAACCATAGTCAAGTATTTTTATCATAACTGCTGATCCCATTATCATCCCATCTTGAAATTTTTATAATGTACTTACTAGATTACATTCTTTAACATATGTAATTTTCAAATTTTTCAAAAAACACTATCTTAAATTTTTTTTCAAAAACATATTTTGAAATTTTCAAAAAAAATTAATTTTTACCAAAGTAGGTTGAGTTTGGTATCAGATTAAAGGCATTTGAATGCTCTTTAAAATGAGCCATTGTACAACTTGATAGGACTAATAGAACTCATCCTAGACAACATTTTAGATTTGCGCGCACGGTAAAAAACGCCAATTTTTAGGCCTACCATTTTCAAATATTTATATCATAAAAACTATAAAAGATAGATTTTTTTAAAAGGCATATTTGGATTCAGGACTCAAAATACTACAAGTATGCAAAATTTCATCAAAATCCAAGATGGTCAGGTTGAGAGCCTTGTTGATTTGATATGGAATGACCCTTTTATGAGACCTGGCCAAAGTAGGGCTATAGCCTATTTATTGAAAATCTAGAAAAGAGCATCTTGCTTGCCTCTTTAAAATTATAGGCCTAGGCCTAGGCCTAAAAAATAGGCTAAACTTAGGCATAAACTTATATGAAATGACGAGCCTAATGTACTTTGTGGAAAACTTAATCGTGATTGGTCCAGGGGTAAAGTATACAAAGTGTATGTATTTTATTGTATTTAGCAGGTAGGCTACTTTATAGGCCTAGCTTGCTTGAAAGTAAATTATCTACTTAGCCTAACCCACCTGAAATATGTTAGGGTGAAGATCATTGATGTCGGTCTTGCTTGTAACACACCCCATTTTTCAGCATCCTGAAAACACAGTATATTGTATAAATCAAAATAAAATAAAAGTTAAACTGTTTATTATGCCTCATCAATCTTTCAAGGTTGATTCTTTTTAAACAATGGTTTTGCTTATGCCTATGCCTACCTGTTTATTCGGAAATAAAACAAGAAGATTCTGATAGAACCATTGAAGATTTATTATTTATGAAGATTACTGTATTTGGAACCAAAAGAAGAGATAGACATTTAGTCAAAATGAGCATTGCAATGATTATAAATGTGTTTAACTTCAAACAAAATCACAATCACAAAGTGTTAAAATTATCATTACTTAATTTTCAACAAGTTTTTTGACATATCTCTCCGATTTGGCTACAGTAGTATGAGCTTTCAGGTGTCCAACATTCGATACCTAAATCTCTCCCAAACACTGTTTGGAAACACTCATATATATAAGAGTAGTTTTATTTTAAAAGTGATTTTGATCCTGTATAACTTTTAATGTATATTTTACGAAGTACAATGTCATGAAAGTAAAGATTATACCATAGACTAACCAACACAAGTAGACTTCTCATCCCATTGTAAATTTTGAAGCACGTTTTTCGTGTCTAGTTCATGTACGTGACACAAAGGCGCTAGTGTCGACGAAACTTTGTTTCTTTATTTTAGGGTTAATTTTTTGATTTGTGCTTTACTGTTTGGTTATGTAACTAAGGGACAAGTTATTGTTTATGATTAGACCGTATTATTTGGTTAAACGAGGTTTTAAATGGCTGTAACAGGAAATAAATTGTAAACAAAACACGACCTCTACAGAAAACCGTACAGAACTAACAATAAAATTGGCTTCAGCTGTTCCATAAGGATGGAAAATCTACTAAGGGAGTATGTTTTATCTATGATTATACATATACATGAAATAATAAAATTAAGTTTTCATTTAGCTCTGATCACAAGAAGTAAACATTTTGGTTTATTCTGGATCCAGATTATTTTTTTCTAGTTGCAGATTTATAACGAAAGTCCGTTGCCGCTACTATGTGACCTCTACCTCCGATACTGTTATAATGACTAAAATAGGAGTAAAGCACACAAGGCCGTAGCCAGGGGGGTTTGGGGGATCAAACCCCCCCCCCCATCCGAAATCCCGAAATTTAGTTGTAAATATTAACACTAGGCTTAAAAAGTGTAAGTTAAATTATAAAATAGAAACCGCAACGGAGGATTATATTATATGTTTTATTATGTTTTGCAGTAACTATTCATATTTCATATATATAATAATTCTATTAATAAATCTGATCTATTAAAGAAGTAATAAAACTATGAAGGTTCAACAAAAATACTTTACTCAAACAAAAGAGATTTATCATCCTGTAATATTTTACATGTAACTATATCAACCTTTTAGAAATAAGCATGGGAATTGGTGTTTGAATGAAAGTGCTTAAATCTGTTATCCACAGTCATGACCTGACCCAGTGGTGGTTTCAAGGGAAGGGGGCTACAAGGGGCTGAAGAAAGTACCAAACGGTGTTTAGGAGGATATGGCCGTAGCCATGGCCGTAGCCTACTGTATGGCTTACAAATTTATGAACGCAATCGTCATAATTTAAATTTGTAAATGTCTACTTGCTTATGACAAACAACAGGTTAAATGGGAGTTTTTTTTAGGATTGGATACAGTTTTAGGCGTTAAAAAATTGCTTTAGAAAGTCACTAAACTACTTTAAAAATATAAAAATTTTCCGGGGGAGTACCCCCAGACCCCCCTCTTATATCGGGGGGTGTTCCAAGTCCCCCTTGACTAGGTCCTGACCTGAACCGGTGCCTCTGACCTGACCCCCCCCCCAAGTTTGTTCTGGCTACGGCCTTGAAAGCACACGAAACAAAAAAACTTTGTTGACATGACACATTTACCCCCGCTGCAACAATCCAGCAGATTAAGCGAATTTCCATTTATTATTTTTTTAGTACCTGATTGGATTTTTAATTAAGTCTATTTTAATAACATAAGATTTAACAAGTGTCTAGGTTTTAGGCTTAGGTACAGGGAGGGTAATAATACTAAAGTGTGTTTTAGCAAAATAGAAATATGGAGTTTAGTATAAAATACTTTATTTGGTTTTTTAAGCTTATTAAAATGGTCTAGAGAGAAATTGGGAAATTTTGTGTTTTGAGGATCAAAAATTAGAGAAACTATTTTATCAAAATCATATATACAAATTGGAACGAATAGTGGATTTTTGGCCTATAGGGACACCAAAATGAGAAAGCATATCGGACCCTGACCCAGGTCTTACCGTGTTACCTACGGTAATGAGTACTTAGGGAAATCCCCTAAAAACTATCATGGATAAAACATACAGGAGTATGTTTTATCTATGAAACTGTACATTAAAAATTAGAACAACCATCGCGGTACGTGCACGCATTTTGTGAAGCCGGTGGTGCCCCGGTGACTCTATTTGTGTTGAGTTTGTGTTCTCAATTTGAATGACATCAAAATCTTTCATCTATGATTAAATGTATGATGTATCTTAGAAGAGGATTCGAACCTGCTATGTTGTGGCAGTTACCAAACATGTAGTTTCATAAACTTCAAACAATGACATTAAGGTATGAGTAAGTATGAGTAGGTATGAGTAAGGTAACAAAATAATTTCTATTAATTTAAATCAATATCCAGAAGTAAGACAATGAATTATGATTTAATATTGAATTTTTCCTGCAATAATATTAATTTAGTAATTTTATTTTTATCATTTATTACTTATTTTTTACATAAAATTGATTGGTACGATACCATCCAAATAATTCTTTATAGATTACGTTTTCTACACATTACTTTTACGATTACTTGGTATTTATTTTTTATTGATTTATTTTTAGTAGCATTTATTTTGTTGATGTTAAAAATGTGTGTTATTATAATCAATGATATTTACATCTTCCACCATGTGTACTTTGCTCGATATACTCTTTGCACAAAAAGAGCAGACAAAAGTATGTAGCAGCAGCTGTAAACTTATTATGCCTGCCTCTATTGGTCGTTGGTTCGTCTAATCGAGACATCGAGCGTCGAGCGAGTAATGGTTGTTAAAAGCTGAATCATTCGGAATAACATTAATTTTTGCCGGTTTCATAATAGTGAGATTGTAAAGAGTATCATTAGAAAACTATCAAGACTTTTACCATGGACAAGGTAAATTTATTTTCTTTACTTTTAAGGTGTTTTCACCTTACCAAATCCCTATCAACCCAGTTCAATGTTCTAGCTCCCGCAACTCCTCATGAGACGGAAGTTTCTAGTCCTTTCCTCACATGGTCGAAAAGAATTTTGTCAAGTACAAAGATATTACTTAACTTTCAATTCCCAACCCTTAAAATATTGAATCAGCTACAATTTCCTTGCGTCTATATCATGTAGTGCAATCGACTAATTAGTTAAACTAGGTAGGCCTAATTGGTTAAGTCAAACTTTGGACCTTTCCTCGTAGACTAAGGGTTTCAAGAGACCTTGAGTCCTTGAATGCTGTAAGCTAAACTACCTTTTTAGGAGTTAATGGATCAATAATTTAACGTTTATTTGTGAGTAATCACCGAATCTATTGGCTAAACCGGGAATTGTAGGCCTAACCATTCTTTTTCACTAATTTATATCATTTATTTATTCCTACGGGAAACCCATTACATTGATTCATTACAAAGAAATAACAATAAAAATCAAGGCAAGATGTGATAGCCTACTACAAATAATCAACAACAACAGCAGCAACGTATTAAATACAATTTACCTACAATAGCCTAGTCTACTTTTTATTGAAACTGAAGGATAGATTTTTTTGTCTTCCTCACTACCTGTATGTGGCGGATCATACAGGTAGAGATACTCGGTCCTTATAGCTCCAATTATCCTGAAGTTAAAGGACACATAACTTAATTAGCCTACCTACCTCATAATTACCATTCTCTTGACTGTTGACCATTTTTGGATAGGTTGCATCTGTAAAATGATACATAACTTAGGCCTATAGCTTAATCATTAAAACTTACAAAATTAAAAGTAACAACTTTAAACATATATTACATAACTTGATGCCAAAGTCTTGATATAAAGGTTTGCAGTGTTGCCTATACTCAGCTCCTGTCATAATCCTCAAATCCTTCTTCTGGAGCAGGAGGACTCTCACACATGCTGCAGAGTGCCCCCACAAAAGCAGACCATAGGAGATGTGGATGAAACAGGGAGTGATAGATGACAACAAGATAGGAATTGCAAAGTCACCAAATTTTTGATCAGGGAAATTACTCTTGACAGTTTCTTGCACACCACGCTGACATGATCATTCCAAAAGAGCTTGCTGTCTAAATAGAATCCAAACAGTTTTACTGGATTATATGATGATTTAATTCAACTCCCGCGAGGTCTTGTCGAGTCGAGTCTTGTCTTCGTTGATACTTAGCTTATTACGCTCGAACCATGCACTTTGAGGTTGTTTTTAGCCCCCTGTAGCAGCATATCTGTAGGTCATTGTTGTGAGAAATTAACCATCGTTGTTTCATCAGCAAATAAAAGGCAGTTGATATCATTGCCAAGGTCATTTATCATGACTAGAAAAAATAGGGGCCCAAAAAATGAGCCCTGTGGAACACCATGTTCAATTAGCTTTTTACTAGAGCCCTTTACTGTGACAAATCTTAACCTGCTCTCAAGGTAAGACCTGAGTATAGCAAAGACTGTGCTTCTTTTGCCATAATGATGAAGTTTATCTAGCAGGATTTTGTAGGAAACACAGTCGAATGCTTTACTCAGATCGCACAGGGTGAGTGCAACCGCCTCATCACCTTCAAAAGCCTCGCATACGCAGCTCATCACATCTTTAACTGCCGTTGAAGTTGATCTTTGTTCCTATTCTTTGTTGTTTAAAAGCCTGAGAAAATCAAATTCTGTTTAAAAAAGTCTGTTAATTGGATCTTGATTACGGTAGTGTTTTGACTAGGCCTACTTTGCTCAGAATTGTAGTGATATAAATCGGCCTGTAACTATTTAAAAGTTGCAATTTAAAAATATTTAAAATAAATGTGATGTTGGCGGCCTTCTTCGCTGCATCTACCTTGTTCCTGTAAAATCTTTTTGTGATAAGGTATGTATAGGTCAGGAAAGTTTGGACTATCTTTACTTAGGTCACATTGGAGCAGAATGTATGAGCTTAGCCTAGTCAACTCCTCCATCTACCATGATTTCCCTCTTGGACCCGAAGTTCCAGAATTCTTTATTGTAAACCTACTAAATGGATTGTTTCCTGTAGGCCTATTTCAAGGGAAATATTTCATCAAATATTGACTTGAATTCATCTAACACAAATAAACATATATAGGCCTACCTATAAGTTATAGCCTAAACATGCATATATGAATTTTGAACGAATTGGGTTTTTGGCTGCTGGGGACCTCAAAATAAAAAAAAATTAAATTGGTCCCGGGTCCAGGTCTTAGGATTTTTACCATGATACTTAAGATTACAGTAAAATATAGATTATTCCCTTTATAGAAAATTTGCTAGGTTATAGGCATAACAGATCATTAAAAAAATTATCTTTATTGCATAGGTATATAGAGAATAGCTCTTGAGGGTTCGGCTGAGACCAGATCGCGACATATCAAGACAAAGGGCTTGACAAATGCAATAGTGGTGGTTAACTTCCCTTCCATCCAACAAGTAGTCCTTTTCTTTTAAAGGTCTGAGGATGTCAAACATTTATTAGACTAACTTAAAAATTACAAAAATGCATTGTTCTCAGTTGACGTTCAAAATGTGTGAAAATGCATATAAAAGTGGTAACTTACTTGTCGCTTAATTGTTAATTTATTTTATCAGGTTACTGAGCTGAAAGACAAAGGAAATGCCGCTCTTCAAGCCAACAACTTTGAAGAAGCTGTCAAATTCTATACTGAAGCCATAACTCTGGATCCTAACAATCATGTCCTCTTTTCAAATCGTTCAGCAGCACACGCAAAAGCTGGATCCTATGAGAAAGCTTTGGAAGATGCAGAAAAAACAGTTCAAATCAAACCAGACTGGGCGAAGGTAAGTTATTTTTAAATGTTATTTCAATATAGCCTATAACCCTATGACTAACTTGAGGCTATTACAGGTTTTAAAATTTGGTTCCAACACAGTGTAAAGAAGTACTGTAGCCTAAAATCAAGATAACTAGATAATGCGGAATATCTATAAAAGCATATTTTATATATTTTTTAATCAAATCATACTTTTTGATATTGTTTCATTGCTTTATTTTATATAGGTTATTAATAATGTGAAGCCTTTCAGGTCCGCATAACCTAAACCATTTTAAACACTTGCGTCATGTGAGCATAATAAAAACTTGTTATTAAGAAATTTAGGCCTATGGTCAAATAAATCTTTTGGTGTTATGTTGGGTAGCCTACATTAAATTAGGTTAAACCTATTTAGTAATTTTGGCATTTTAAGTAAATTCTAGGGTTGTCAATCCATACATGTTTGGTACATGTTAGTTGATTTTTTTGCCTCAAGGTTCAATTTTATTCACCAAAATATAGGAAAAAAATACTGTAAAGGTCTATTTCAAGTTTATTCCAAATGGTTTCCCCCAACCATTTTTTTCATTCTGGTAACTACATTTACCTACATTCCAAACTCACTTGTTGTCATTTTCTTTCTAGGGTTACTCCAGGAAAGGCAGTGCTTTGGCTTACCTAGGCCGGCTGGAGGAGTCTGTAAAAGCTTACGAGGAAGGCTTAAAACTCGACCCAAACAATGCCCAAATGAAGGAGGGTTTGGCTGAGGTACAAGCCCAAGTGATGGGCCCATTTGGAGGTAAGGGTAAGATCGAGTTGAAATTTGTATTATTATCAATACATTAATACTTAACTCATATCTTTCAAACAGATGAAATTTTAAGTTAGAGAAAAACTTTAGTAACTTAGGCCTAGGCCTAGATTTCTAGGGACTCTTAACTTCAGGTTGAGACTTTTTAAGGTGGTATATATATATATATATATATATATATATACCAGTGGTGGTATATATATATATATGTATATATAATTATAGGCCTACTATAATAAATTTTAAATATAGGCTTAGCTTCTAAAATTGTTCAAAGTGATTGTAACCTATTAACTTAATTTTGGTTTTTAGCCTAAATTAATTGTTAAAAATTATAGCCTATCTGAGTACTGTAACCAATTTATAATTTGATTCTAAACAACCTAGATCTAATATTTACTTACTTACTTACTCTTACTCAAGACTCTTACTCCCATGGCCATCGATACCCAAGGTGGTATTTGGCCTCGCCAACTGAATGCCTCCACTTCTTCCGATCTTCAGCATCTTCCTGTCATGATTCTTATCTTCCTCATATCTTTGGTCACTTCATCTTTCCACCTCATTTTTGGACGCCCAGGAGGTCTTCTTCCAAAAGGGTTCTCTTTCCAAACTTTCTTTATCAATGCATCTTCTTCTCTCCTTAACACATGCCCGAGCCATCTTATTCGTAGACTTTTTGCTTTCGCCACCGCATCTGGTGCTTTATACAGGTCTCTAATTTCTCTGTTATGTTTGATCCTCCATTCACCATTTTCTCTTGTTGGTCCAAAAACCTTTCTAAGTACTTTATTTTCAAAGGTGACAAGTTTTTTTTCAGTACTTTTGTCCAGAGTCCATGTTTCAGAACCATAAAGCAGAATTGGACGAATCACAGTTTTGTAAATTTTTAGTTTTGTGTTGACAGAAAACAGCTTTGATGTTTAGTTAATTTAAATGGTTGTAATTCTAAAATAAGTAAAGCTGTTATGGTTTAAGCAGTTAGCCTGTCTCCTTCAACTCACTCAACATTTATCTTGTTTCTTTCTAGATTCGTTGTCCAATCCTTTCAAGTCGCCCGATATATTTGTCAAACTAAGAAATGATCCTAGAACCTCTCACATGCTCAATGATCCGGAGTGTATCAAGTTGATAAACGCTCTGCAAAACAACCCCAACACCTTAGGGTAAGTAACATAAGAGCATGAAAGTATAAACAATATACAGTGATATGGGGTAAGTTGGGCTATATATTAACTACTAGCTGTTGTACCCGTGCTTTGCAACGGGAAGAGGACACAAAATAGAGAAATTTTGATCTTTGTTGTATAAAATAGTTACACCCTGTTGGTAAACCTTATAACTTGTTAATGCTATTCAATATGATAGAACCAACATGTGTATTTGAAACAGCTGACGAAATTATTTTATTCCTTTTAAATATGATTACTCATAAGGTTAACATGGGAAACTCCAGAGCCAATGGGGCGGAGCCCGAAAGGACTTTTGTGATAAGAGTGTGTCTATATGTTAATCGGGAATGTGAGCTATCATCACACCAAATTTCAGTCCAATCGGACCAGTATTTTTCGCGTTTACTTTTCAGAAACATACATCCAAACTTTCTCATTTATAATATTATATATATATATATAGTAGGATATATTAACTTGTATCCTATAAATAAAGTTGTGTAGCAGCTTAAAAATTTGACAATATATCTAACCTTCAATTGAAATTCACAACCCAGATTTGGTTAAACAAGTCTTCCACATGAGCAGTGGATGTTGCTCAATAACTGAAAATTGAGATTTATGCCTAAATTATTTGGGCAGTATTAGTCAAATTGTATTATTAACTTCTACCGGAAAAATATATGGACACGGGAACATGTAGCTGTACCGGTATGTGTTAAACTTGGAACAAACAGGTTTTACTCGTTTGTTAACCTGGCCATTGACAACCCGAAATTTTATTTTTACTGTACGGTATTACAATTTTTGTTACATTCTTTCCACACTCTGTCCACGTTTCTCAACTCTAAACAAAATAGTTTCATTACAATAAAGATTTGTTTTCTGATTTCTGTTTACGTTAGTGTGAGAGTATTTAAACAATTTGATGTCAAACCAAATGGATCTGAAAAAGAGGGTTACTTCTGTATGACAATTTCTTTGACTTTTCTGTGTTTGAATGACAGTTACACCACTATGTTTTTAAATTTCATAAACCGTAATGAATTGTCTCAGAGAGAAGCTGAGTGACCCGCGGACGTTGACCATCCTCAGTGTGTTGTTGGGAGTGAACCTGGCGGAGCACAACGATGACTCGTCACCCATGGATGTCGACCCACCCTCTCGCTCTACCCCGCCTCCTCCCAAGAAAACTCCCACACCTCCCCCAACTGCTGAGGAACTCAACCTGACCCAAGAGCAGAGAAAGGTATGACATCCAGTAAATTAATTGTTTGGGATTTCACACTTATGAATGTTTGTTTGCTTGAATACTGAACCATGAGAAAAATGTAATTGCTTTCTCTTGTGTTAGATGTGTTGGTAATTGAAGGCAATTCAGTAACACTTGAGATGGATACCGGTACCAGAAATCGATGTTTACTGTCTGTTTGTGTAGTGAGTGAGGCTGAAGCTTGGCCTTACCTACGAGGGATCCCACTAAAGCTGCCCTCACGGTGCTAATTGCCTGAAAGCCTCAGTCCCCTTCACTACCTAGAAATATAACCTGTTGTGTGACACCTCATAATTACAATTCATATCACGCTGGGATGTAGGCTAGGTTTCAGCAACATGCTTTGTGTTACTAAATTCTTTGTTTGATACCATGTACATAAGCCCGAACATGAAATAAATTTTAACAAGAAATAGTTTCGGAAATTGAGATTAAAATATTTGCAACTTCTCGATGATTTAAGCAAAATAAATATTGATTGGTATCATTTTACTAACCATGTTGATCAAAAGTTTAAAGTATCAATACATTTTACAACAAAGGTAAAATTTAAACAAATGACAGTCGAATTTTGGCTGGGATGAAACATGCGGCAGCTTAGTCTGTCCTAATTCCTGTGTGTGTGAATAGGTTTGACCCTTTGGCCAGCCGCACTAGCTGAGCAAATAGTGTGGTCCAATAGTAAACATATCAAGTTTGATTAGTTAGTATCGATAGGCTACATCACTAGTTGAAGAGGCAGGAGAGACACTGCATGGAGGCCTTAAAATGATCTAAAAAGATAATTGGACTCGAGATTGAAGTGCCTTTTTAATATTCAGACATAAAGGATACCGTGATTTCAATATTTACAATGATTTTTAAATTTTAAACTACTTATTTACTCCTACACATGGGAATTTTTATTTATAATTTCATAAATTTAGTTTTCAATAGTTTTTATTAGTTTTGAAGACATTTAAGTTTTGTAGAAGTTATTGTTCCAAAAATTAAATTACAATGACTGATTTACAGGCAAGAGAAGAAAAGGAGTTGGGGAATGCAGCGTACAAGAAGAAAGATTTTGAGACTGCACTAACCCACTATAATAAGGCTGTTGAATTAGACCCAACAGATATAACTTATCTTAACAACATAGCAGGTAAGGTTAGCTACAAGAATACCGTAAATGTTTCATTCAATATTTTTTAAATGTTATTTTACCTTTCAAATCAGGGTTCTGTTTACAGAATATCAATTACACTTTTTGCTGAGTACATTGTATCAATAGTAGATTCAACTTAATTAACTACACAGCATAGTCTATATTATAAATGTAATTCAAATTACTGGAGAAAACTGTTTTCCCCCTAATAGGTAAAGAGAAATAAAATGTTATTATAGTTTTCTGGTTATTTTTAGCTAAATTTATCATTTGATTTGTTTGTAAAGTATGTTGAAGCGCTTAAGAAACTATTTTAAATTTTAAGTAAACGTTTCTCTTGAGTGTAGCGAACTACTACTTTAAGCACTAGTTAGATAGGCTAATGGACTATTCCTTTAATTGACAAAAAACCAATACAGTGGAACCTTGATAGCAAGTCTCTCATGTGATTATAAAAAGACTTGTAATCAAGGTTGACTTCTCATAGAGGTTTGTAACATGTTATTAGGGCCAGGTAAATCAAGGATATTTGAAAATGACACTCGTTATTTCATATTTAGTGACTTGTTGTCGAGGGACTTTTTATCAAGGTTCTACCGTTTAGCTGTATTTTTGTTGTTGTGTTGTAACCTACTTATTGAATTTATTGGACAAAGTGGCTGATGTAGATTAAATTTACTGTTTATGTTTGTTCTAGCGGTATATTTTGAACAAAAAGAATATGAAAAGTGTATAGCACAGTGTGAGAAAGCGGTTGAAGTTGGCAGAGAAAATAGAGCAGATTATAAACTTATCTCCAAGGCTTTTTCGAGAGTTGGAAACTGTTATAGAAAACTAGAGGTGAGTATAAATTTTTTTAGTAAAGGTAATTGGTTTTAAAAATTTGGTTTTCATACTATGAAACCAATCATTTATTATCATTATTATAGTGGCTACATGTTTTAAAATCGAACAAACTCAATTTCTTATCCAGCATTTATTTATACACTAACTAGCTGGCCCGACAGACGTCGTCCTGTCCTAATGTGGTTTTATGTCAAATGCTCTTTCATTTTCAAGATGAGCTCGTTCGCATGGCTCAATCACGTTCTGTTTGAAGTTCGTTTGCTGCGCTTACTCACCTTAAGGTTGGAGCTCGTTTGCTACGCTAACTCGCCTCCAGGTTGAAGTTCGTTCGCTACGCTCACTCACCTTTTGGTCGCAAATTTAGCTGTTGTCATAAATTTAAAAAAATAATAGTGCTGCACCCTGTTGGTAAACCTATTAACTTTTTAATGCTATTGAACATCACAGATTCAAATTGTTTAGTTGAACCAGCTTTTAAGATTCTTTAATTCCATTTAAATATAAAGTACTCTTAAGGCTAACATGGGAAACTCCAGAGCCACTGGGGCGGAGCCCTTTTGACGGATCTGCACCAAACTTCACACAAACCATCCTTGAATAATGCTTAATAATGCCTGAAGGTCCAATTTGATTGATTTGATCACGTTTGCTTGGAAATGATTTACATTATTCTGCCTTTTTTTATCAATTGACCAGCGGCTTATCACTTGATTGACCTTCTTAGATGGTCACATCTACGTTTAATTTGAGTAATTTTTAATGTTACAATTTCTGATCAAAAGTCACTAGTTTCTCTGTTATTTCCAGAAATGGAGAGAAGCAAAAACCTACTATGAGAAAGCTATGTCAGAGCACAGAACGCCCGAAGTAAAAACAATACTTTCCGATCTGGATAAGAAAATCAAAGACGAGGAGAGGAAAGCCTATGTAGACCCAGCCAAAGCAGAAGAAGCCAAAGAGAAGGGAAATGAACTGTTTAAAAATGGTAAGATGGTTTTGAAAGTATTTTTTTTCTCACGGTTAACTCAAAAAGGTGTGTTACTCTAGGCTAGCAATTCAGGTAAGTGAAGGCTAGGTTTTATTCGTGGCATATCCATAGAAATGTTAAAAGAGTCTGTACTGTTTCCTTTGAAGGTGTAAAGGTTTTTCTTTTACAAAATGCCACTGCTGTTGAAACTAATATAAAAGATTAGATTATTTGCATAAAAACTTTGTTTTTAAAGAATTTTCCTTATTAAATTTATTTTTATCCCCATCTGCCGGTCAGACTTTTTGAGTCGGGTCGGCTCGGGCAAAAAATGTTGTCCTTGGATCTCGGGCCCAATGAAAATATTTATTTATACGAGTTATTAAAAATAGTATTTGGTATACAACAATTGCCTCATATATTTTATATGACATACCCCCACATCATTATAAAATTGTGAACATCTACCGCCGTCACTGTAAATCTTGAAGATCTTCCACGGCCTCAGCAAAATGGAAAACATCTCAGTGCAAAATTAGAATTTTCTGTAGACAGCAATTTTAGGAAAATCTTAAACGCGGCCACAAAAAATATATTTATTTTCTAGCCTCTGATTTCTTTACTGAGATTTTCTTGAGCACATATGAAAAAAAACGGGGACCTCCGCTTAAAAATCAACAAGTGCACTCCAATAGGAAAGCTAATCACTCACATTCATCATCTAAATAAAAAATTAAGGTCAACAAGGTATTCACTAAGTATACTATCCAAGGTCACACCGCTAGAAGTCTGCTTGACAGTATATCATGTGTATGTTCATTCTTTGCTGGCTTATGGGGTAACTCTGCAGAGGCCAAGAAAGTGTTCACTTGCCAAAAGTCAATTCTCAGAACTATTTATCACCAGAAGTCTAAAAACAGCTGTAAACCTTTTTTCAAAAAACATTCCATTTTAACATTACCTTCTCTTTATATATTTGAAATAGCAAAGTATGTTCATGCAAATCCTTTCTTTTTTGAAAAATATAAAATAAATCATAACTATCAAACGAGAAATAATAACAAAACTTTTCAATATCCCAAACATTCGCACACAAAATTTGAAACTGGGCCTCTTTACATGGGATTAAAAATCTACAATCATTTACCTAATTCATACAGAACTTTATCAAAACCAAATTTTACATATAAACTGAAAGAGACTTTGAGCCAAAAAGCGTATTACAAAATTCAGACGTTTTTTAAAGATAAATTGTAATAGTTTTTACTCTTGTCAGGGTATAATTAGATTAAGGAACCTAGATATAAATTAGATATAAATTGACCATGTACCAGCTTGGGAATTACTTTTGTAATTATTGTATCAGGCGTTATGTACAATAAAGCTTTGTCTATTGTCTATTGTCTATTGTCTAATGCCAGTTTCTTCCTATCTCCAATGCACGCCTGCACCAGTACACCCTTGTGTGACCTTCATCAGTACAGCACTCTACATCACTTGCGGGGATAGGAATCTTACCACTTCTTGGAACTAGGATCATATTTATCATTCGACCGAATGAAAACTAACATACAAGTTAATATCATATATTTTTAAATCCTGTGTTTAACATTTTACCCTGTTGCTTGTAAAACAGTGCTTAAACTACCTTAAGTGCGTATTGCATGTACAGTAGACTCCCTCTTATCCGGACTCCTCGGGTCCGAGGCCAGTCCAGGTAACGGTTTTTCTGGTTAAACCAACGTCCCCTAAAACTCGTTAAAACGGACTGTTTAAATGCATACTGTATACAGTATTAGACTTAAATTTAGGAGAGCATTGTTTTAGACAAGTGATCACTGGTCTCAAATCTTTCTCACAAGAATAGTAGTTTCAGTACCGCCCACTTCCTGCCGATCTAGTCCGGTTAAACCATTTACTGGTAAAAACTGTCCGGTTAAAGAGATGGCATTTCCGCCGGGTTTAGTCCGGTTGAAAGGTGTCCGGATAAGAGGGAGTCTACGGTCTGCAATGTTCCACATACAGTAGACTCCCTCTAGTTCGGCCACCTCGGGACCGGACCACTGGCCGGACTACAAAACGGCCAGACTAACCGGAGGTAGTGCATTTTACATAAACAAAATACAAATAATATTGTTGCGCAATTGTGATATGTTAAGTCATTAACCTTGGTTCAGTAATCAAAACTATAACGTTTAAAATCACACTTACTTAAGCAAAACAAAAATTACACAACACTGTACGTACAGCAATAAATCACGTAAAGAACAGAACAATAGAAAGTCTAGTACTGCAAGCTACTACTAGGCCTACCGTAGTCAGCATAGGCCACTACTACATATTGTTTCAGAACTTTAAGAATGTCGATAAAAACATTATATAACTCATAAAATCATAGTACATAGTCATAAAGATAATAACAACAGTCGTAAAATAGGATAAAGATAGAAATGGATGATGTAAAACACTACTTATTCTTTATTCTTTGTTCTTCTATTCTTTCTTTGGTTTCTCTTCATCAACACATTAAACTAGTTGCCATGGTTACTAATCACCCAATCACAAACTGTTGTGAGATAGCAAGCGCACATCAGACATCAGTTGTGTAAAGAGCAAGAGCAGATGATTGTCAGTGCAAGCGGATAGCTTGACCTTGAAGCTAACGATGGCTATTTCTTTGTTTTGTTTTAATTTATTTTTGTCAAATAAACCGTGGTGTTTCAAAAACAATAATGGGGGAACCTACCACATAAAAAATGGTTCGAAGTATTTAATATACACTGCATTACAACATATTAAACTGAAGAAAAACTATTTATAAAAATGTTCTTGGTATTTTTGAGGTTATGTAACATAGTTTTACGTAGGTAATATGCAATAATTCACCCATAGAAGCACCCGTCAACTAAACTGACATGAATTGTTTACTACTATGGCCGGAAACTAAACATTCAAGTTGAATCCTGTCGAAGGTCATTCGCCCGTGACGATATAACTTGTCCTCCTGAGACCGGGCCGGACCATCCGGCGGCCGATCCAACCGAAGCCGAACTAGAGGGAGTCTACTGTACCCAAAAAACTGTAGAAATTTACTTTTAATGACACACTCATTTACCTGTGTTTTATCACTTGTTTAGGAAATTACGGAGAAGCTGTCAAATACTACACAGAAGCCATCAGACGCAACCCAGATGATGCAAAGTACTACAGCAACAGAGCTGCTTGCTACACGAAGCTGGCTGCGTTTGATCTGGGCCTTAAGGACTGCGACGACTGTGTCAGATTAGAACCTAAATTCAGTAAGTCAATTTACAATTATATAGTTATCATTTTGAAGTTTTATTTGTGGCTGTGATATTTTTATTTGGATCCTAGTTTAACAATAAGTAGTTGGGGAATCAGTAAATGATTGTCTGGAATATTTTAAAAGTAATTTGACTTGAATATGATAAGAAATTACTGTAAAAATTGGAATAGAGTAGGGGCCTACATGGTTAGGCTAAATATTTGGAAAAACCTACAATTTTCTTTTCAATTTTTACTTGTGCTTTTTTTAAATATATGAATATGGAAAAATGCATTAATTGTGATAATTACTATCTTAACTAACCACATGTATTGCTTCAGTCAAAGGCTGGATTAGGAAAGGGAAGATTCTGCAAGGCATGCAACAACCCAGTAAAGCCATCACTGCCTACCAAAAAGCTCTGGAGATTGACCCAAACAACCAGGTTGGTCAAACAAACTACAGTAGACTTCCGACTATCCATGAGTGGATTAACCTTGATTGCTAAAAATCTAGATAAAAATATACTACGCAAGTTAAATATACGTTGTACAATACAACCTTGACCAAAGATGTTATCGTGAGGAGACCCGCAGGCATACTATAGAGTTGCTGTTGTTTACTTTACAGAGCACCGACTACAGAACCAATGAGTTGATAAATACATTTTGTTTGTGTTTAAATTTGTATCAATACGAGGTCATAGGCTCACCAGTATTATTGTTTAGTAAATAAGTAGGCATGTACAGTAGAACATCTTTAATCTGAACTAATTGGGACCGGGGGTAGTTCGGACTATTGAATAGTTTGCATTACATTGTGGGTTTATGGGTTGCCATGTTGGTGACGAAATAACAGAAAATCTAAACAAATGGAAGAAATTCCAATCACATGTTTTATTTACAGCGTGGATTTTAATACTAAACATCAAGAGGGTTGTCACTTGGTTCACAGTACATGCAGACCTTTAGCATGATGGCCAGTGATTTAGCAAAGTAAAAAAAAACAGTTTTGCCAACTATCATATGACATCACTAATATCATATCCACTGACAAAGTGACACACTTATGCAACAGACATCTCTGTAGACAACTGCAGAAAATTCAGGGCCTTCTCAAATAGACAATTACAAAGATGTAAGCTTGATTGACCGAAAAAATGCAAAAATGCAACGTCAGTCTACTTTAATGTGACCAGCCGTCGTCATACATATGCATCGGCAGTCTATGGGTAGAAACCAGCCGTAGCATATGTGTGTCGCTAGTCCATATGAATGAAACATTTAGTATTATTGCAGTAGCGAGCGTGTTAAACCTATTGTAAATTGTATACTTTTTACTTCCTCTCACTGCAGTAATTTTACAGGAGGCGCTGGATGGATACAGACAGTGCAGTGTGGCAGTCAACTCAAACCCCGAGGAAGTCCGGAAGAGAGCCATGAATGATCCAGAGGTCCAGACCATCCTGAGGGACCCTGCAATGAGACTTATCCTAGAACAGATGCAGAACGACCCCAAAGCCCTCCAGGAGTAAGTCTCTGACCATTGTTTAGGATTAAGCCGTGTAAGAACTGTAATTTGCTTTGAGATCTGGGGCTCCACTGTCTATACTGTCTATAGTTAAAATTTAAAATTCCTGGATTTGGCCATGCCTAGTGCAGTGTAACAGTTTATGAACAAGAAACTAAACTAAACATACTGTTTCAATCAAATGTCAGTAAAATTTAAAAAGACAGTTTTTTAGTGATGTTTTATGTAAAGCTGTCCCGCCAAGTAAAACAACTGGAATTTTGACTGCTCTCATCAATGTTTTAACATACCAATAGATAAGGTAAATAATTTGTTTAGCTTAAATTTATTTGCGTTGTGGTGTTTTGGGATCAGATAGTAGACAGATAAAAAAGGTTAAATTATCTGTTGGAAAAAGGGCTTGGACCATAAGGTGACTACGGGTAATTTCATCTTTTTATTTGTTTAATTTCTTCTTGGAAATTTGAACTTTTAAAATCTGGATTTGTTTTCCATTGCTTACTGAACACCCTGGAAAATAACCTCTTCTTGAAATCTTTGATCATCATTCTAATATAGAGGTAATCACAAAAACCAATGGATTGTTATGTTGAAAACCACATTTTGTTTGTTGATGGCCTTCATGTTCATTGTTTGTTTTCAGCCATCTGAAGAATCCTGATGTAGCAGCGAAAATTCAAAAACTACTTGAGTCTGGACTGATTGCCATCCACTGAGAAGAAGAAGAGTCTTAAGGATATTGAAGTTGTCAACAAGGTCCATTCCTGAATATCGGATCTTAAAAATCTCGTTTTGAATTTAACTTCCAATTTACGTTTAATTTTATATATGCAAATATTTGAGATCCTTTCTATATATCACTTATAAGTTAACCTAAGCATTAAGTTTGTTCTCTGTTTACATGTCCCAATCATATTTTATTATATCGTTCCTCGTTAAAAAACTTGTTACGTCTTTTTTTATTTTTTTAGTAACCGTTGGTATTATTAAAGCAGAACAGCCAATCTATAATGATAAAAGTGATATAATATTGTAAAACAATTTGAAGTTTGGAGTTAAAATACTCTGCATCAGTATGTACTTAAAAGTACAAACATGAATGTACATAGGAATTTCAAGCCAGTTAAATAATTGCTTGCCAATTTTGGTTTTTAGAGAAATTTATATTGAAATTCCACTTAAACAATTCAAGCAATCTAAAGTTATTGATTTATGAGGTTTATATTGTCTTCGTTTCACATAATTTGCATTGCTTGAATTTAATATTTCTACATATATAACGAATGAACTAGTGCTTACAAATAAAATTTTGTAAAACAGTCCTGACACTTCTTTACCTTCCTGTCCCACCCGGTTTTGCGCTTCAGGATTTTTAATCATAGAATAAAGGAGAGATAGCAGTGATATATAACTTACCTCAAAAGAAGTACAGGTAGGCCATAGAACAAACGGTTAACAAATCTGAGGTAAGATAGATGCTATCCATACAGTGTATTTTTTTTACTTGCTTCTTTATTTATGTAAAAACTGCAATGGATAGAAATATGCAGTTTGCAGGAACGTAGGGGCCTCAAATTGTTATGAATTTAATGTTAAGTTCCCATTAACCCCTTTTTTCCTCCTGCATGTAACTTTAAGTTTTTATTTTGCAAGGTACCCCTTGTGACAAATCAAATGAAAGGGCATGAAAAAAGAAATTTTTTTGTGAAAGAACTTTTCAAATCTGATTATCTGTAAATTTTACTGTCAGCTTTGGTTTGTGGTTTACTTCAAGAAAAGCAATTACTCGGTAGGTAGAGAACTTTTAATAATGAATAGTACAGTTTAAAAGATCATAATTTAATTGATAGTATTAATAACATGTCTTTAAAATAATAATTAATATTTTGAAACTTAAAATATTTTAACTTAACGTTGTAAGTATTAATCCAATTTCAAAGATTCCTTCACAAAAAAATTGTTATGCCCTTTTATTTAAAATATCACAAGGGGTACCTTGCAATCAAAACAAATTATTTAAGGGTAGAGGAGGAAGGGGGCGAATGAGAACTTAAATTTGAATTCACATCAATAGGGTCCCCTTTGTCAATAGACGATTCCCACAAAATGCATATTATTATCTATTGCAGTTTTTAGATAAATAAAGAAGTATGTTAAAAAAACACCTTGTAGGCCTGTGTTGAATAATATTTGTTTTTCTTTTCCAAGTCGGTTTGGTTCATCTACCCGACCAATTATATAAATTTTGGTCTTGAAATAAAGGTATGCATGCAAGCATAGATTTGCCATCAAGCAGCGGCATTAATTCATCTGGCGTATATTTTGAGTTATGCACAAAATCAACTTCCTCCCAGTACATTTCTTATGGTAGTTGAATTAGGTTTTTCTTTTCTAAAATTGTTTGGCTCTTCTACCTGACCGATTTTTATAATATTTTATGAAAGGTGTGCACACAGAGATTTGCCATCAAGCATCATCATTCATTTACTGTAAACATAAATTTTGTTGTTTAATTCTTGCTTCAATTAAAGATGTATTTTTACCAGTTCTAGTTACGTTATCCTATATGTTTTGATCTAAGAACCTTCATTGAAATACCAGCTTTCATTTGAGTTATTGATTATTAAGATGGGACGTACCTAAATCACGCTGCTGAATCATGAGCAACCAAAATTGTTACAAGAATGAAGTCATTTATCATCGATTGATCAAAGTAATTGTGCTTGAAACCTCCAGCAACCACCGATTTCAACGGTTGTCTCTTTTATTGTATAATTCAAAATCCTGGCCAAGAGCCTTTTTTTGAACTAAATCTACACATTGCTTTAGGCTAGGCCCAGATTGTCACAGCATTATCACTTAGATGGATAATATACTTTCTTTCAGCTAAAATATATCATCTTCCATTTAATGTGAGGAATGAAACAAACTATTATAACTCAAAAATTAACATTTATCTGGTAAAAAAGCCACTAGTAATGATAATAAATATATGATGAAACTTAAATAAAGTAATACATTAACAACTATCACATACATAAATGGAATGATAACTTGTAACACAAGTTTACAATATTCACTACCTAGGCTACTAACGTCCAAGAACTTAAGTCACACTTTGTCATTTTGATGTTAATCAATATGACCAATGCAAAATCTTGGTCAGCTGACCAAACAAAGAATGGTAAATTTTTACCATTTTATGGTGTTTAGAGTACTGCTTGAGCACAACAAAGGAACTTAACCACTCAATTTTCATTTTTTGTTATAGATCATTTGAATTCAATTCACTTCTTGGTTTCATCACTATATATTGTTTTTTGCCACTTTTACTTTCTTTCTTGGGCGATTCCATTGCGGCTACATACATGTTGTAGTCATCTTTGTTTTTCTGCATCCTGGAAAGCAGAATTCATTAAATGATGGTTTAAAATTTTATTGACACGCTCGTACAAAACAATGTTAAAACATGTAGAATAGAAAGTAGGTATTACAGTTAAATACCCACTTTCTTAATCAACTCTCATGGGTCCAAGCTTAGGTTAAATACTGAAGAAAAACTGTATGTTCTATACTATAGTATTGCACATTTTAGATTTTACTTTTGAAAAACCCAGTCCTAACGGAATTGCGAAGACCGTGAGAGAGGCTTATGAGTGTGGCCACAATCACGTGTGATGACAATCAGTTTATATTCTATGAAATGAAAATATTTTCTCAGTAGGCTTTTCTGGGCCGGACAAAATCTGTTTGCAGGCTGTAGACTCCTGGTCTACTATACAACTACTATTCTAACAAGAAAATACAAACGGTGTTGATAACGCTGCAGGGAACTACTGTACTTTTTCACTTAGAAATTAACTTACTCCATTGTGCGGGCTTTGTGGTTGCCCAGACAGAGAACCAGAGAGTAGCCGAGCATTAGACAGCCACAGAGAGCTGAGAGTATACACAGGATGATCCCCAGATGCTGCAGAAACAGCAGTAGTCTCAGACCTAAGGCCATGGAGGGCAGGATGGTGGCTCGCTGCTGGAACCACAACATGGGGAAGAATACTGTCGGCACATTGCTGTATAGCCTGCAACATAAGTGATGTTAATACTGTGGAGATCAAAATAGTGATTGTTATCACATAGAAGAGTAAGGTTCGGAGGAGACACTCAATTGTAGGCCTACTCTAAAGTGATGTCTAGCACTAATTCTGCTGCTGGTGTCGGGGGCAAAGTCCAACACCACCCATTCAAGTGGCAAGGAGTAAAAGTAGTGTAATGAGTGAGTATAAGGAGTGCTGTACTACTAAGTACCAGCCCCTTAATTGTTTTCATAGTGCAAACTAATGTTTATTGACATTTCTGCAATAGTATTGAGTCCATTTTAATGTGTTGTGGTGCCAAAGAGATTATTGCTAACAATTAATTTCAAAGTAAAACTTTTGACTTCTAATATTTTTATGCTGAAAAGCATAAGTCGCTCAAAGTTTTGAAGACTATAGCTAGGATCTAAACCACCCAACCTTTTTTTACAGTTGTTCACTCTTTAACTACATGTTGCATTCAGTTCTGTAATTTGTTTTTTCACTGATAGTCAATGGTTTAGTGTGGCAATTGCATAATAAGAGTTTTAAAATGTCAGTCTAATAAGGTTTTGTATTTGTCATAGTTTAACATTGCTGTACTACATACAGTAAGACTATTTGAACTGTTCTCACCCCATTCCTGGTAACGGCTGCAGAAGCAGATTAATCTGAAATCTTGCAGCAACATCTAGTGGGATTCCAGTTGTCTGAAACAACAAAAATACTGAATATAATAACATAACTACTATTACTCAGTGTTCAATGTTCGTGTTACGTGTATATTCGTTTTTTAAAAACTATGACGACCTTCAAATGAAGTGATAACTTATATCCTTGGACGCCTGAAGATGACTCCACGGAGTTGAAACCGGTTGCAACACAAGCAACGAATTGGATTACTTAAATGCAGGTATTTAAACCACTTTAAAAATACTGAATCTGAAAGTTGGTGGCACATGAATTATTCATTATTCTACCGTTGAATGTTGTTAACATTTTAAGAATGAATACTAACTACTAATGGATAAAAGTCATTTCATAATTTTTATCGAGCAATCCGCTTATCAGACTTAGCTGCAGTGGGTTCATAATCGAGATTTAACTGTTACAAATATTCATACAAGTCTCGAAACTCGTACACTAAACAGTTAAAGTACCGGTACTAATTTACAGATTATCTCACCGGTTCCAACACAAGGTAGAACTGATGTTTCTCCTTGACTGGTCTTAGGCCTCGAACATTGTCGGTGAAGAAGGGATCGGCCAAGTAGAAATGTGGAAATGAGGCGAAGGCAGGGGCGCCAAACCGACAGGATGTTTCGTTAAGCACGCCTGAGGGAGTGCACTCGCCATTGCAGTAACAGGAGTTGTCTTCAAATACAGTTCCATTGTCTAGCATGGACATTCCACCGACATAACGGTAACCTGGGACACCCTCCACTTCTGTGTCTTCTTCGTACTCAAACGAAACTGATCTGAAACAAGAGGATAAATCATAAGTATCGGCAGTCAATCATGCTTTCATGGGTTCACGAGGAGATGGGTAAAGATTCTGTATCTAAGGGTAAAAAAGCTCACTCTTTCTCCCATATCATAATGTTTAACAACAACTAAAATAAAAAATTTAATATTTAACGAAATAGAGATCAGCAAAGAACAAAAGTTACAAGCTGCTGTATTCACAGAATATGAACCACATATGCTATTATCGTGGTCTTTGGAGCTGCCAATTTTACAGAAAGTCTCATATTCAAAACTCACCCATACACTATAATCTTATTTAAACTGGCTCGATTTTCTGTATATTTGTGAATATTTCAACCAAATTCTAAAATGAAGATACCTGCAGAGGTCCGGAGAGAACATGGTAACTTTGCTTTCTCTTGTTTGTCCAGGAGGAAACAGCTGTCCTGTAGTCCCGACTACGTTAGCACAATCTCCTTCATAGAACGATGTAGAATTATCATAGTTCCAGTTTTCAAGCTTGCCTATTTTATATATGTCCTCTTCTCCAGTGTTCATATTGAAAACTCCATCCATAAATGATGTCCCATTTCTCTGTAAGAATTACCACGGATAAAAAATTATTAATCCTTAAAGATTTATCATCCTCTAGACTGGCCAAGGAAGGTTTTAATAATTCTGTCCAGTTTATGTAGAGATGCTCTGTTGTTTTCTATATTTTATTTCATCTATTTAAAACATGTATAAGCCAAATAAAGCTATCTAACTATAAATAATTTGCTAGTTCTATGGTACAGTAGTGTCCCGCAAACTCGGCACTCGACAACCCGGCAGTCTGGATAACTCGGCCATCACCTGACTCAGAAACTTGGTGATTTTTTGAGTCCGAGATAAACATGGGCTCAAGTCAAATCATTCGCAACTCGTACCAAGTATTTGTTGTACTCTGATGACTTGATACTGACTTGTAATATAAATATAAATAAATAAGGCAGCTAAAAGTTATAAAAATTGTATTGTTCTTATTTTTAACCCTAGTTCCCGATAACCCGGCATTTCACAAACTCGGCACCCTTCCAGTCCACATTACGCCGAGTTTGCGGGACTCAACTGTATTATAATCCGAGATTGGTGCGCAAATCATAAAATCCACCGTAAAAAGAGAAACATTTAGTCAATAACAAAGTGATTCAGCATGAAACAGAGGTATGAAACAGGGTCTATTTTACATAAAAGAGAGATCTACTTTAACTTTCACAATACCAAGTGATTTTACTTTCTATCAGGTCAAAAGATATAGAAAATTGTTGCCTTAAAAATGTAAAATTTTTCACACCCACCCCAACTTTCATCTTATGCGTAATACTATCAATTACTCAGCGAGTTTTACCCTCAGTTGAAATCAAAAGTTATTTATTAGTCCTCATAAATCTTGAAAAAAGTTATAAGTTAATTTTTGTTTTATTTGAAAGAGTGTAGCCTCTAAAAACTACTTCTAAGTTATATACAAATTATAATATCAACGTATTCCAGCTTTCCTTACCTTATAGAACCAAGCAAACTTGTCAAAAGGCACTTTGACACTTGCGAACGACGGCATTTTCTTGGCCATTGAAATAAGTTGGTCAGAATATCCCTCAAAAAGCAGTTCTCTCACTTTCTTAACAACATGGATCTTCTGCTTTGTCCCGACTATCGCAGTATTCGTTGCAGTTCGTAAAATGAACATCCAATCTCTTACAGTGAAAGCTGCTGTCTATAACAATTGGTTTTGTGTAATTCGATGGCAAATAGTATAACAAACCAGTTCAGTCAGTTTATTATGAATAGAATAAGGCTGTGTATCAAATTAAAACTTCTTTATTTGCCAGTGTACTTGTCAATGTATTTGTCAATAATGCTTAAGTTTGCTTACAAATTATTATAATACAAATTAGATTAATATGCTGTATTACGGAAAATAACAATTCAAAGACTGATACTTCTGCATTGTTTCAACTTTTATCTAGCGAGTACAAAGATAAATTTGGCAAAAAAATTGTTTTATTTATTTTAAATTTTGAATCAGATTCTTCTCTAATGTTTATTGGTAGTGCAAATAAAAACTTAATGCCCATGAAACTAGCCTTCTTTTCAAAAATGTTAGATTGTTTGTCCATTAGTTTGATTTGGTCTTCTATCTCTAGCTCTTTGGATACCCAATTTGTGTTTGTGATTTTATATTTACCAGAGCAACAATGTTGAGTGTTGTGATTTCATCGTCCAGACTTCCTCTGGAGTTTTCAGGATCAAAATACCAATACTTTGCTTGCTGATAGGTCACTGTATTGTTACTGTTCCATGTTACATTAACCCGCTTGATTTTTTCACTGCAACAACAGGATACAATATTTTAAGTTATTCCAATCATATTATTCTTGTACATAGGCAAATGGTTGGCATGTGATGCGCAATGGGTCCGAGAGATACTTGCGCCCTCTCCACCTACCATTGTGTGGGGGAATTTTCTTTTCCTCAACCCCCCAACAAACCTAAACCCTCTTGTGCCCCTGGGTTCAGACCCAACGGGTCCTTATTAAATCAACCTTGCCTGAACAAGCAGGAGGTTGAAACAGTAAATCATAATTTGAATTCACTCCCAAGAGAATTCTATTTTATACAAGTGACAACGGAACATATAAAAGTATAGGTATTACTCTTTTATTTAATTCTGGAAGAAAGGATATTTTGGAAAAATATAAATTATCTATAATATTAAAACGTTTAATTTTAAATATCAAGATATAAAATTTTTAATGGCTGTCATTTTGGGTCGGTACAGACCAAAATTTGAAACTTAGTGTACAATTTAGTGTTTGTCCCTACAGTACTTATATAATGTACCCTGTAAGTTTGAAGTCAATCGCTCCGGATTCAAAAGTTATGGTTACATTTTGTAAAGATCACATACAAACAGGCAAAACCACTTACACTTATAGGCATGTTTATATGATTTTTTTTTATTATTGTGAATAAATGTAAGTGTGCATAAATCTAAATAAATATGTACATTTTTGTTTGAATATACGCATTTTACAGCAAAAAGTTAATAAATATTGACATATTAAACCTAAAACATACCATTAAAAAATAAATACAAGTTTTTTCCTACAGTTACCTAACAATGTACATGTTCTCTCACTGATTTGAGAAAGCAAAGTGGCCAATTCGCTCATCAGTGAGACAATGTTAACATTGTCTCACTCTAATTACTTTGTCTCACTCCAGATTTGCAACGTGAAGGCACGAAATAGTGAGCGCGTAACCTGCAGGCAACATCGTATGCGCGCGAAATACGTTGGCAGCACTGGCTGTAAATCAGCTGGTCAGCTGTTGTACTGTTGTATTTGTCAAAAGTTAACTTTTGTGTAAAAATAGGTTATGTTTCTTCACAAATTTATTTGTTTTATGGTAACTGTAGGAAAAGTATAATGTGCAACTCGAGTTCAAAGTACAATTGCCTCACTCGAGAAACCATTCCTCACTCGCCTACGGCTCGTGAGTAAGGATTTCTCTCGAGTGAGTCAATTGCTCACTTTTCTCACTAGTTGCACAAATAACTATACCACCTTGTTATTAGTATTTTTTGTCATACTGAATCCAAACCAGGGAGAATCTATGGATTGGCTTTAATATAAGGCCTTGAAGGTTTATGACAGCCTTAAAGTTTGGTTGATTTAGGTTGCGGTGGGCACAAAATTGGTTTTCTATCTTTATGTACCAAATCCAAAATTTCATATCTTCCTCTACATTTGTATGTATTAAATACCGGTACTCTAAAAATTTTAAGCATATATTGGTAATAACTGTAAAAAAATGTAATTGTTTTTTGGAGCTAAAACAATTAATCAAGATGTAATAAAGAATAAAACCCGTTACAGTTTAAAGCTCTGATTCAGTTAATGTTACAAAAAACATACATAATCAGCCTAACTTTTGGAGGGAATTATTGGATTTGGCGGGACAGAATGTTTGGCCAGAAGGGCTTCTTTATTCACACCTCAGTTCTCTCCGTCTGTCTCTCTTTCTTGTGTTGTGAGTTCTTTTTGTGAAATATTTAGGCTACAAAAAAAACTTTAGATTTATTCCTATCATCATTACATAGGTTTTGTGTTTTGTATGTTTGATAGCACACAAGTAATCATTATAACATGTTTGTATTTGGTAACAAGTTAATTGTGTTTTAGCACAAAAAGATATATATGAACTAGAACCTAACGTCTCTTTTCTTTTTACAAAGCCTTGTTACTTGTAATATGTGCTCCCTGACTCACTAAATATTTTATTTTAACTTAAACAATTAAAACTAAATGAAAAAACGTTTAAAAAAGCATAACCACTCATCAAACCAGTTCATCAAAGCAAAACCAACCTACAAACTTTCCTTGACATTCAATAACATGTAAATTACAATCAAAGGGTCACAACTAATGACTATCAATTAATTGTCGTTAATTATTCATTTGCCAATCTAACATGCCAACTTGCTTGGGAGTCTGAATCTACAGCTTATAGTTTCTTAAATGTTTGCAAATTTTATTTGTGATTAAAATCATACCATGGATATTATAACTAAAACGTAAAGATACTATTGATTGCATCAGCAAACGATTACACTACAATCATAGATGAAGTAATATAATTCATATTATATAATATAATATAATTCATATTATATAATATAATATAATTATATTATATAATATAATTCATATTACTTCATCTATGATTGTAGTGTAATCGTTTGTAATCTATGTTTCTAATCGTAGTGTAGCAAAGATGAAGTAATATAATTCAATATATACATATTATATTATACAATATAATTCATATTATATAATATAATATAATTACTAGCTGCGTGCCCGTTCTACGCACGGGGATCTTATTGTAGTCAGTTGAAACCTTCTTATATTAAGAACAGCAGTTGGTTTGCATATTTTCAGATATGCTGGCAAAACTATTAAACTATTATATATAAACCTTCGCAAATACAGTATCTGACTTAAATAAAGTTTCCAGCCGAATACAACACTGATTCAAGGTCTTTTTCTGGTTATCAAAACTCAAGAACAGTGTTTTATACACAAAACACAAAGAATCCCTGGTTCCTATGACCTGAACGATGCCTAGTTATTTAATTTCATTTACGGTTACACTATATTATTCCACTTGCGATTAATTAAATCCGTTATGTAAGAAAAACGATTTTAATCTCACTTGGTTGGGATTTGCCTTCAAAACGTGATCGGAAATGGTTGTGGTATTTGTAAACAATATTTGTAAACATATCAGTGACAGCTAGAAAAATAAACTTGATCCGTTATTTCATAGATGATTATGTGATAAAAATTGCACAAAACTGCATTTTTGAACGTCCGTAATTTTATTTACAAAGTAGTGAGGCCATTATTTACAAAGACACTCTCTCCAATCCAGTGAATACATTAAAATGACTTGGATCTTGATAGGTACTTTCGTTTTCCTGGAGAAGATTGCGTAAAATGCCATCTTGAGTGTTACAGACAGACAGACAGAAATTTAGATGAGCCTTGTTTGGCTTCTTTAATGTATAAAACGTAAAAATAACCTAAAGATTTATGATTCTGAGCAATGTACAGACAAAACTCTAATTTTATTTATATAGATATTATATAATATAATTCATATTACTTTATCTTTGCTACAATCTTCATTGTTTATATTAAATTCTGTTGTGCTTTTTAGCTGTTATGGAAAAATAGATATGTCTTCCCCAGAAAAATTTTCTTTTCGGCTACCTATCTACCTATGATAAAATTATCATCAAAGATCTATCTGGAATAATACAAAATATATAGATATTATATAATATAATTCATATTACTTTATCTTTGCTACAATCTTCATTGTTTATATTAAATTCTGTTGTGCTTTTTAGCTGTTATGGAAAAATAGATATGTCTTCCCCAGAAAAATTTTCTTTTCGGCTACCTATCTACCTATGATAAAATTATCATCAAAGATCTATCTGGAATAATACAAAAACTACCGAACCAAATGGGCTTATTTTACAGATAAATCATGAAACTAATAAATCTATGTATAATACATTTCCACAGTCTTATTAAGCTGTGGCTTTACCTAAAGATGCGATATTTTGATATTTATAAGTAAATATTGATTTATTCGTTTTTAAGACAACCCAAAATGAGCTATAGTAATAGTTTATTTACTTTATTTACATAGGTGAAGTTATTAATTTTTAGGGATGTTAAATTTGATCAAACAGAATTTTCCACATCTAAACTAAGCTTGAGATTCTATGGAATTACTAACTACAATTGAAATCATCATTATTATACTATGTGTATGATGTGTACACTGCTTAACCCTAAAATAAGAGGAAAACTTCAAGCTATAAAACACCCCTAAAAGCAGGCTTCAGATTAACACCACATAAATATATTGGCAGTTTCCAAATTCAATGGAGATATCCAGATTCGCTCTCAGCATCAATGTTCTAAACGTTTTCTATGATAAATATGCTAAATCCAATTGAAACATGCTTACGTAAATCTATAGGGACCGAGTTCTTGCATTTGTGGTATATGCATTTCTCCCTCGTCTTCTAAATCATTCACATTTGTCCAATTGAAAAAGTAGAAATCCATGTAAATTGGAACCGGATTGTCGTCCCAAATCTGATGAGTTTTTGAACCTCGAGACATCTTCAGGGTCTGTAAAAAGTATAATAAACAAATAAAACTAATGACAAAAATTATGAACTACCTATATATTGTTGGGAAATATAAGTCTGGATTCTGGAACCTTAGATCTGTATTCAGTGTTTGATTTATGCAATTTAAAGGTAGGATATGTATAAAAAAAACACCTTTATCTACAAAATCTCAAATCAAAGGATGATAGCTGGTTAGCTGAGTGGTTGTATATCCGTAGAATGCTTACTCAGAAAAAAAACCACCACTCCCTTTGATTATGAAAAGTAGTACCACAGACAATAAAGTATTATATTGTCTGTGGTAGTACAGTAGCTCTTTAATTCTGATATTTAAATCGTAGACTTTTATTACCTTAAGGTATGAACGAGAATAACTAACAAAGAAAGGGTATTTTGATCAAAATATATATATTATTTATTTAGTCATCCTCCACAAGAAGCCTTTATTGTTTCCCGTCAATTTGTTTATTACTTGTCTGTTTTACATGTAAATTGATCTTGTTTCCATGAAGTTGATTGCTTTTAAGGTACAGTATTAGTTTTACCTCATTGGAGTCTTAAAATGGATTTCCAGTGAATTTCCACGCATTTTCTTTTAATTTGTTAGTACCAAGATGTTTTTGGTTTGGTTGGTGCTTTAACAAAATGTTTCCCTGTAATTCCAAGGATGCAAATCTTAATTTAATTTTACACTAACTTATGGTCCTTTTTTAACTGATATATATTGGTAAAATCTCATGTATTGTTTATATTTTCATAAAAACGTACAAACATAATATATTTGATTGGATCTTTAAGTCATTCATTTGAACACTGACATAAAACCTCTTAACCCCAGGTCTATTTTCTATATTATTCATTATCAAATGTATACATACGTCTGCAATAAATATCTTGTAGTATGTTGGCCAAAACATAGGAAGCACGGCTGCCAACACTATGAAGCATAAACCAAGCAAGAACAGAGCGTGGATTTTCAGTCGGGACATACACTGCACCTTCCGGGGCTGCATTCTGTTCTGAAACATAAAAAAAAACAACAATCCATTTAAAACTTGTGACATCTGGCACAATTGTTTTAAAATCTACGATACCCATTACCAGTAATAATTGTCATAAAGATTGACGGTTCTTTGGAAATTACAATAACGATTAAGGTGTCATGCATACAACTATTTATTCTATTTGTCTATGATACAACGTACTTTTTGATCACTTTTACCACAGAAAACGTACGTTGCTATGCTATTGCAACGCTGGTGGCGCTGCCTACGGATTGACAGGCAAAGCTCTCTCAAACCGCTTAATGCTTTTTACCATGCGGTTGGCATTCTGGGTTATAGTAGTACGTTTTCTGTGCTTTTACCTTACACCTTTTCACGAATCCCAAACATTTTTAGATCAAGTGTCCCAAAGCTTATCACATTGGAAATATATCCAAGGTGTCGTGTTTGCTACTTTCCAAAGATATGACTAATAGAATAAGGTAGTTTTATTTGTTTGAATTTTTTTGTGGTAATGTAATAGTAGGAAACCTGATATACAATCAATAGCGGGCAGAAACACTTAAGCAATTGCTTCAGCTAATTCAAAAGATTGACAAATATACAAATAAAGAGGAGTTTTACCTATGGTAATTGTACATTGAACAATTATTCAGTTGTGCATTTTTCACACCATACCTACTTATCATTAAAATTCAAAGACTTTTTATACATATGCACTGGGCTAGCGATGAGTTATTCCCAACAAGTTAAGACGATTTCCTAAACAGACATGACCTTGCTTATATAACATTACAAGCACATTCTTATTCCAGCAATCATCACAATCTCCAGCATGACCGAGCTTCGGGTCTGGAAAATACCACCAAGAGTGGAAATAAGAAAATTACAAAAAGTTTATCCGGCTCCTGTAATATTGCTTCTTAAGACGGTTAAATCGGTGAAGAAGCTTCAACACAAAGATTTTTTTAAATATTAATAGTAGTAAAATATACATATGGGTGTACATAGCTATAGTGAGATGATATTTATTTTGTTTAACTTAAAATTAATCGAAAGATTGATTTTTTCAAAACAGTCAAAATAACGTTATTTTTTAGCGTTTACCCAACGATGTAAAGAAATACAGCCCAGACTGTTTTTGACCCTGCTCATTCTTTAAAGGACAGAATTTTTGAACAACAGAGATTTTCCCACACATTTCAAAACAGCTTAAACTTACCAGTGCCTTCCATATTGGAGTGATAATCCGATAAAGTTTGGTGCTTAAGCGAAACCCGTGAACAGAAAACCTCATGTTTGAAACAGTGTTTGATCATGTTGAAGGTGTACCTAACAGCCTAAACAATACTGAACGTGGAGGTAGACAGAGGTAGAAAATAGATAAAGAAACTACTGATAAGAAAGGTTCTTATTTGTATTTCAGTCATAGCAAATACAAAAGGGTAGGTTAGTTCCAAGATAAAACATACTCTTTTGGTAGATGTGGTTTATCAGATTTTTATCATTTATCAGATCATCTGTAGTTATGTTAATTTTGTCCAGTGCACTGTGGAAGTCGTTTGTTTACAATTTGTTTCATTATCATTTCAGTCATCAAAAGCCTCATTTAACCAAATAGAACGATCTAATCATAAACAACAACTCGTCCCCTAGTTATAACCAAACAGTAAAGCACAAATCATGAAAGTAATGCTAAAAAGACACAAACGTACACACATGATACAAACACACTACAGATTTTCCCCGATCAAAACCCCGAATCGAGCAGGTCGAAAGGAGCAGACAGTGCGATAGTGCAGATAGTCAGGAGCCCGTATACCGATCCAGACATCAGGCCGAGCAGGAAGATGAGCCCTCTGTAAAAAATTCAATAAAAGATCGGTCCGGTTTTCTGTGGTCCGATGCAAGTTATACGCCTTGGGTCCGATGTACGGAGTGATGTATGATGTGTCACGGTATATTTTACCCCCGTACGCCTTCGCGAGCGCCGCACCGAGCGACCGCCTGTGCTACCGTCGAAGGCTCTAATTTAATATGGCAATTACACTCTTTAATTAGTACAAAATACATTTTTGGTAAAATTGTGTCGTTTATGGGGCTATATGATGTAGTTTTGTTTTTGTTTCGCCACGGTTGAAATAGTTTTCATTTGTATAACTACTGTGTGAAGTGGAACTTTGCACTCGCGCGTCGCGTTAACAATAACATTATATTTTCTACAGTTACTAAACTACTAAAAAACCATATAAATAATTAGTCTTTCAAACACTATACAACACGTTTTTAGGTTAGATTAAATGGATTAAATCCAAGTGTTAAACGAAATGGGAAACTCTGCACCAGCTGATCTTAGTCGTAGCATCTGTGTCGCCAACTTATTTTCAAGCGTACACGCATTGCGTATCAAATATGCGTCTAGTCTAGTATGCGTGTCTAAGCACACTGTTTTAGTGTATTTTTGGTAGCAATACTGGAGTTCGGTAAAACAATGAGTGTGGCAAAGTAATTAAATGCAGAAATTAGCTACTTTGCGTGCTATAATCAGTGCAAAAACCCCACTTTGTCAGTAAACTGTAGGCAAATTTATTTTATGTTCATAAGCAAGCAAACTACAACAGTTTACTTATTTTCCATAAAAATAACTTGGGAATTTTAAATTTACCATTTTTTGGAATTTTTTCTGTAATCATTAGGCGCATAATAACGCTTTAACATACTACATTATTTGTTTTTTAAGCTCTAGAAAATGGTTTGAAAAGAAATTGCTTAATTCCATGTTTTTTGGGGTAAAAAATGGGGAAACAAATTTTTGCCCCATAAAACCCCGTTCCCATAGTCCGATCATGCTGGTTCGCAAACTCGTTCGAATAAATGTAGGTTTACACGTTTTAACCAAATTTCGTCAAAATCGGATCATTTTTGCTCGAGTTATTGTACAAACGGACACATACCCCTATGAATTTGAACGGATGGTGTTTTTGGCCTCAAAACGAAAAATTAAATCGGTCCCGGGGCCAGGTCTTAAAACACACTTTATTAGTTTCCCTGTAGCAGCTATCCTAGGTACTCGTTACATAAATGTTAATTTAATAGATTAGTTGAAAATCAATCCAGGCAAATGGAAATTCGCTTAGTCGGCAGGTTTGCTGCAGCGGGGGTAAAATTCTGTAGAATAGGTTTGACTCACATAGACCACTGTTGTTTTCGGAAAACAAACAAATAAATGGTCTCAGACTCATACTCCATTCTTCTTCGTTCCTTTCTATTCTACTACTCCTTTTTGCATTCATTTCATTTTATTTCTCACGTCCTTCTTCCTTAAATGTGCCAAATAAGCAATTATAAACAGCTGCGTAACAAGGACTATATGAGTGAGGAAATGACCTTGACGTGTGTCCAAATTGTCCGATTGCGGTTGTGCTTACTTCTGAGCATTTCAGGTAGGCTATTAAAGCTTGTATAACTCATTACGTAAAGCTACGCAGCCTTCTTGGAAACACTAGGAGTCATTGAAGTAAATAGACTGTTAACGTGTACAAAGTTTTGTTACACTTGACAAAACAAAGTGTACTGACACCGGGTTCGTAAAGAAATTTCCAGAATTTAGGAGAAATGCGAAACGAAACAATTTTTTCATCACTCGCCAAGTCGAAAGGAATCATTTTCGATAACAGCTGACATCAATGAAAGTTGTTGTTTCCCAAGCTCTGATTTAGTGCGAGGGAGAAACTATCAGCTGATTTTCCCTCGCTCTCAATTAGTTCTCCATTTACCCACTACGCAGGCTAATAGTGTTTATACGGTCAATTTTAATGATTTAAATCAGCTGTTTTCATTGTTGCACAATCTAAATGAATCCACAAACCGGCATTAGTTTGTTTTGCTGTGTGTTTAGCGTAATGCGTGTTTGAAATTGCTAAAACACATGTTTTGAATTCCTAATTATTTTATCACAAAAGCTTTAGAGATAACTAAACACCTCGCAACACAGAAGTTACGGGAAAGATGAAGATGAATACAGGAAGTTTACGGACTGGTAGGCCTACAACGGACAAAATGTTTAACCAAATAAAGTAGGTGAAAGTATTTATTAATATAATTTATCCAAAAAATATAATCATAACACCATTATACGTTGTGAAGTAGATTTTTACTGATAAAGAGTGGTCTAAAACTATTTGAATATTACTGATTTTAATATTCTGTAGGGTATTTGTGTACATATTTGCGTCGTGATGAAAAGTATCGCCTATAACTCGTACCGAAAGCTATTTCCCGGCAATTGATCCATTACCCCCGTCCTCGGCTTCGCCGATGACATGTCTATTAGATGCACCCATTTAAAACACTATAAATGGAATAACACAATCAAGCATTGGATCATTCCGTCTTTTCACAGTAGCCTACTTAATAACTATTTATAGTGTAGGTTTACAATAAAATCGCACTTTTTTGGCAGCTCAGTGATGCTCTTATTATAATCTAGGTTGCAACTTTTACACAAGAATGGAATGTTCACTAACATTATTGTAGTAATGTGTCATAGTCAGTCAACGCTAGGTAGGCCCTACGCACTGCACTAGCGCTACATACGGCCAGATTGCGAGTTATGCTCTAATTGTAGACAAGGGGACAAAGCTAATTAAAGCAATCTACCAATCAGGTGGTCAAGATGACCCTTGCAATCATTGCTAAATCTCTACAAGGCTCAGTCTCGTTTGGACAATTGTATAGGTACCCTGAGAAACTGTTGATTAAGGGTTATAGTTTTTCAACTTTTTCCCAGCTTAATGAAATAAATAAACACGAAGGGGCCCCTACGCAAATTGTGCAAAATGGTTCAATTCCGAGGCAACACGAATAATGCAATTTCCTAATATTTTTAAAATATGGTTGAGACAGTTATTAGGGGATAAACTACTAATGTACAACAAATTAAATGTTTGCTTTTAGCAAGAAGAGAGATTTACCTACCTCAATGAGCTTACAGTTTAAAAAGTTGCTATTTAAAA